CTTGTCCGAGGCACCGGTGCTGATGTTACCTGATGACTCTAAGCCATTCCACGTCGTGTGTGACGCGAGCAATTTCGCTATAGGATGTGCCCTCATGCAATTTGATGACGAGGGTCGAGAGCGCGTCGTGAGTTTTCAATCACGACAGATGAAACCTGCCGAGAAAAATTATCCGGTACACGACAAGGAACTTTTGGCTATGCGTTACGCGCTAATCAAGTTTAGAGTATATTTGCTCGGCGAAAAGATGTTTTCTATCTACACAGATCACGCATCATTGCGTACCGCCGTCAAGAGTCCTCACTTGTCCCAGCGTATGGCACGGTGGTTGTCATTTTTTGCCGAGTATAATTTTGTGGTGCATTACAAGCCTGGCAAGAATAACATTCTCGCCGATGCGCTTTCTCGTCGTCCTGATTACGATCCTCGGCGTGATATGGGTCATCAAACGGAGTATGTTGATGACGACGAAGATATCTGTGTGTGTTGTATTGAACTGGGACTTAATGCGGTGATTTCGACCCCCGTGCTTTCGATCCGAACTCAGATCGCTGAATCCTACGCGAATGATTCCTTCTATGCAGGAATCATCAACTATCTCAGGGACCCGAGCGAAAAATTACTCGCGAAGTTGACGAAACCAACACGCGACAACATCAAGCGTTACGCGCTTGACGGTCCGTTGCTGACGTACACGATGGACGTCTTTGATTCCCCGCGTGTCGTCATCCCTGCTGATGACGACCTTCGAGCCCGATTGGTTCATGAATTTCACGACAGCCCAGCTGGCGGACACCTGGGTCGCGAGAAGACGTTTGCAGCTATTTCTCGCGTATTTTTCTGGCCGCGAATGTATAAATACATCCAGAAATGGGTGCGCTCCTGTGAAACCTGTCAGCGTGTGAAGCCTGCGCCGTCTTCACAAGCCCCATTGCGTCCGCTTCCGATTGCTACGGAAGCCTGGCGCTCGGTCAGCATGGATTTTATCTTTGGCCTTCCACCGGATGAACAGAAACGCACGGGCGTATTGGTTCTAGTGGATCGATTCAGCAAAATGGTGCATTTTGCTCCGGTCTCCGCCAACATTACGGCGGAGACGACAGCGAAGATCTTCATTGATCTTATCTTTAGGCATCACGGCTTGCCAGAATCTATTGTTTCGGACCGTGACCCGCGTTTCACTTCGGCTTTCTGGGCCGAATTATTCCAGCTATTAGGCACGCGGTTGCTTATGTCTACGGCGGCCCATCCAGAGACGGATGGGCAAACGGAGCGTGTGAACAGAGTGCTCGAAGATGTCTTGCGCAGTTATGCAACATCGTTCTCATCATGGAGTTCATTTCTTCCACTTGCAGAGTTTGCAATCAACAATGCTGTCCATGCGTCAACCGGGTTGACGCCCTTTTTCGTTAACAACGCGAGGCATCCTCGCGTTCCGGCGCTGCTTGCTCTCTCAGCTTCAGAACACCCTGTTTCCAAGCTTGGTGGGGGAGTATCTACGGATGGAATTGCGCCGAAACTATTGATGATTGATTACGATGCGCATAAGGTTGCTGCCGATGCACCTAATACTGGTAATTTTGTGGCCAACGGCATATCGACTCCTGACGCGATGCTTTCCATCGCGTCTCCCGTTGCCAATTTTGCTCCAAAGGAGAATACGTCGCCTGTAAGTTCGGCTGCAGTAACCGAATTCCTACTATTACGACAAGGAATCACGCGTTTTGTGCGTGATGCATTACAAGAGGCAGTCGACAAGCAAAAGGAGAATGCAGACAGAAGAGGACGAAAGAATATGTTGATATTTCGAGAAGGTGACAGAGTATTGTTATCAACAAGTGGATTACCGAACACCTCAGTGACGAATTTGGGCGCTAATAAGTTAGCGCCAAGATATATTGGCCCATTTCGGGTTGTTAAGGTGCATGGTGACGCTTACACGCTAGACATACCTACATCTATGCGTTTGCACCCGACGTTCTATGTCGGGCGCCTCAAGGCTTACCTGCCGGCGGATCTCCCTTCGAATCTTCCCCGCTCTTCTGTGCCGGCTCGAAATCCGACATCCCTTGACGACGACGTTGACGACGACTGGGACCAAGTCCTGCCCGAACGCGTGCAGACTCGATCTGCTGGGGTCCTCCGAACGCAGTCGTCTCAAGTTGACGTAGGCGCTCAACCAGTACCAGCTGCTCACGTCGGGTCCGCTCAGCAGCCTCAGTCGCAGCATCCGCACGATCTTGAGCTCTCTCAGCCATCTCGCGAGCATCGAGTAGGGCATTCTTCGATTCCTCGACTTCAGCGTGAAGTAGACACAGCTCATCATTCGACTGCACAGGAGCCCGATTACGAGAATCGGCGCTCATCGCCAGAGGTCTTCCGTCGTGATGCTCGTCCTCCATTAGTTGATGCATCGAGTGCGCGACGCTGGATTGTCGACCTAATTGTCGATCACGAGGATCACAAGTCCCAGGCGCCGAGTAATAACTCGGCTCCCATGAAGAAGCGTGTCGAGAAACATTACAGGGTTCGCTGGTTGGGATATTCCCCGGCGGACGATACATGGGAGCCATCGAGTACGCTGTCCCAAGATGTCCCGGACGTGGTCGAGGACTACGAGTCCCGTAGAAAGACGGTGATCGCGACCGACGCTGACGGTTCCATCCCCGATCTCGCGAGCCGTAATGCTCGCGAGCAACGAAATCGCGACGACCTCCCGAACGACTCCGAGACCGAGACCTATTACGAGGCTCGGGAGCATATGGATGATACGGTTGACGATCTCGGCTACGTGAATGCCGTCGGCGATCGTAAGGACGCGTTCTCACTCGCCGTAGCTCGGACACCTGGAGCTCCGAAAGGCTTCTCTCATAACGGGCAATCCATGGACGAATATGGTCGGGCATGCCTCGCGCACACACTAAGTCGTCCCATTCCTGCCGGACCGGTCGCGACCTGCCCACGTTGCACGTTGGACATCCCTCACGAATGTGGACGTAACAAAGGTGATACTCGTCACAAGTCATACGACAGATGCGCCGGCGCAGGTCGCCAATAGCGTGTCTATCACGCGTTCCCTCGCGACCGTCTAACCAGGACGTGAAGGACGTTCCTTCACGTCGGCTCGCGTTCCAGCGCCTGATGAAGGCACACCAAGACCTCTGCAACGCATCGTCGGTATATGCGTTGTTCGTCGCCTTGCCTCTCACTGTACGGTATCGCGTGAAAAGGTCCTTCATGACCTCCAGTGGCTCGGGTTCGACAGCACCTTCAAGACCATACAAGCGCCACGATTTCAAGTCCCCATCCATGACCTGCGGCGCCTGCTCTCTACGGATTGTCGCTTGGTGTTCCCAGTTCTGTCTGTCAGAGACATTGTTTCGTGGGCGCCTAGTGTCCATGCTGCTCAGTTAAGTCTAACTGAGCAGATTCGGAGTTACGCCGTTGGTCGAGAAGAAACTTTCTGCGATTCCCGCTTACGTTGAGGTAAGCGCAACTTAAAGAGGGGATGATGTAATGGGTCTACCTATTACATAAGTAGTTATAGGATTAATACATAATTACATAAGTAGGCATAGGGCAGTATCCGATTAGCGGATACTGCGCGTCATTTTATTATTGGTTTATTATTGGGGTGCCAGACCCAATAATTAGCCAATAATAAATTGACTTCCATATTGAGTGGTTCCCATGAGCTAGGGAACATATTCGCACTTACTGCGAATTAAAACTAAAACAAAACTAAAACAGAGTTATATTTACGAGTTAATTAAGAGCGCTTCCTCAACGCCCTTTTAGTGTAAGACGGTAACGGGTCCTTAGCCCGTTACAGTCAATCTCTTGCATTGTCCTCCTGAGCAACATGTTGCTCAGTTGGAGCAATTTGAGGCGTTTGTGCTCGGACAGCGTATAAACGCGTCCTAGGTAAACAGCCAAGCCACGGCTGAGTCCATCACTAAGACTCAGGATGAGCTTAGGCTTGAGCAGGTGTAACGGGATAAGGACCTGTTACCGTCTTACACTAAGAGGGCGTTGAGGAAGCGCTCTTAATTAACTCGTAAATATAACTCTGTTTTAGTTTTGTTTTAGTTTTAATTCGCAGTAAGTGCGAATATGTTCCCTAGCTCATGGGAACCACTCAATATGGAAGTCAATTTATTATTGGCTAATTATTGGGTCTGGCACCCCAATAATAAACCAATAATAAAATGACGCGCAGTATCCGCTAATCGGATACTGCCCTATGCCTACTTATGTGATTATGTATTAATCCTATAACTACTTATGTAATAGGTAGACCCATTACATCATCCCCTCTTTAAGTTGCGCTTACCTCAACGTAAGCGCGAATCGCAGAAAGATTCTTCTCGACCAACAGCGTAACTCCGAATCTGCTCAGTTAGACTTAACTGAGCAGCATGGACACTAGGCGCCCACGAAACAATGTCTCTGACAGACAGAACTGGGACACCAAGCGACAATTCGTAGAGAGCAGGCGCCGCAGGTCATGGATGGGGACTTGAAATCGTGCCTTGTATGGTCTTGAAGGTCTGTCGAACCCGAGCCACTAAGGACCTTTTCACGCGATACCGACAGTGAGAGGCAAGGCGACGAACAACGCATATACTGACGATGCGTTGCAGACGTCTGATGTGCCTTCTATCAGGCGCTGGAACGCGAGCCGACGTGAAGGAACGTCCTTCACGTCCTGGTTAGACGGTCGCGAGGGAACGCGTGATAGACACGCTATTGGCGACCTGCGCCGGCGCATCTGTCGTATGACTTGTGACGAGTATCACCTTTGTTACGTCCACATTCGTGAGGGATGTCCAACGTGCAACGTGGGCAGGTCACGACCGGTCCGGCGAATGGGACACTTAGAGTGTGCGCGAGGCATGCCCGACCATATTCGTCCATGGATTGCCCGTTATGAGAGAAGCCTTCGGAGCTCAGTGTCCGAGCTACGGCGGTGAGAACGCTCCTTACGATCCCGACGGCATTCACGTAGCCGAGATCGTCAACCCTATCATCCATATGCTCCCGAGCCTCGTAATAGGTCTCGGAGTCTGAGCGTTCGGGAGGTCGTCGCGATTTCGTTGCTCGCGAGCATTACGGCTCGCGAGATCGGGGATGGAACCGTCAGCGTCGGTCGCGATCACCGTCTTTCTACGGGACTCGTAGTCCTCGACCACGTCCGGGACATCTTGGGACAGCGTACTCGATGGCTCCCATGTATCGTCCGCCGGGGAATATCCCAACCAGCGAACCCTGTAATGTTTCTCGACACGCTTCTTCATGGGAGCCGAGTTATTACTCGGCGCCTGGGACTTGTGATCCTCGTGATCGACATTAGGTCGACAATCCAGCGTCGCGCACTCGATGCATCAACTAATGGAGGACGAGCATCACGACGGAAGACCTCTGGCGATAAGCGCCGATTCTCGTAATCGGGCTCCTGTGCAGTCGAATGATGAGCTGTGTCTACTTCACGCTGAAGTCGAGGAATCGAAGAATGCCCTACTCGATGCTCGCGAGATGGCTGAGAGAGCTCAAGATCGTGCGGATGCTGCGACTGAGGCTGCTGAGCGGACCCGACGTGAGCAGCTGGTACTGGTTGAGCGCCTACATCAACTTGAGAAGACTGCGTTCGGAGGACCCCAGCAGATCGAGTCTGCACGCATTCGGGCAGGACTTGGTCCCAGTCGTCGTTAACGTTGTCGTCAAGGGATGTCGGATTTCGAGCCGGCACAGAAGAGCGGGGAAGATTCGAAGGGAGATCCGCCGGCAGGTAAGCCTTGAGGCGCCCGACATAGAACGTCGGGTGCAAACGCATAGATGTAGGTATGTCTAGCGTGTAAGCGTAACCATGCACCTTAACAACCCGAAATGGGCCAATATATCTTGGCGCTAACTTATTAGCGCCCAAATTCGTCACTGAGATGTTCGGTAATCCACTTGTTGATAACAATACTCTGTCACCTTCTCGAAATATCAACATATTCTTTCGCCCTCTTCTGTCTGCATTCTCCTTTTGCTTGTCGACTGCCTCTTGTAATGCATCACGCACAAAACGCGTGATTCCTTGTCGTAATAGTAGGAATTCGGTTACTGCAGCCGAACTTACAGGCGACGTATTCTCCTTTGGAGCAAAATTGGCAACGGGAGACGCGATGGAAAGCATCGCGTCAGGAGTCGATATGCCGTTGGCCACAAAATTACCAGTAGTAGGTGCATCGGCAGCAACCTTATGCGCATCGTAATCAATCATCAATAGTTTCGGCGCAATTCCATCCGTAGATACTCCCCCACCAAGCTTGGAAACAGGGTGTTCTGAAGCTGAGAGAGCAAGCAGCGCCGGAACGCGAGGATGCCTCGCGTTGTTAACGAAAAAGGGCGTCAACCCGGTTGACGCGTGGACAGCATTGTTGATTGCAAACTCTGCAAGTGGAAGAAATGAACTCCATGATGAGAACGATGTTGCATAACTGCGCAAGACATCTTCGAGCACTCTGTTCACGCGCTCCGTTTGCCCATCCGTCTCTGGATGGGTCGCCGTAGACATAAGCAACCGCGTGCCTAATAGCTGGAATAATTCGTCCCAGAAAGCCGAAGTGAAACGCGGGTCACGGTCCGAAACAATAGATTCTGGCAAGCCGTGATGCCTAAAGATAAGATCAATGAAGATCTTCGCTGTCGTCTCCGCCGTAATGTTGGCGGAGACCGGAGCAAAATGCACCATTTTGCTGAATCGATCCACTAGAACCAATACGCCCGTGCGTTTCTGTTCATCCGGTGGAAGGCCAAAGATAAAATCCATGCTGACCGAGCGCCAGGCTTCCGTAGCAATCGGAAGCGGACGCAGTGGGGATTGTGAAGACGGCGCAGGCTTCACACGCTGACAGGTTTCACAGGAGCGCACCCATTTCTGGATGTATTTATACATTCGCGGCCAGAAAAATACGCGAGAAATAGCTGCAAACGTCTTCTCGCGACCCAGGTGTCCGCCAGCTGGGCTGTCGTGAAATTCATGAACCAATCGGGCTCGAAGGTCTTCATTAGCAGGGATGACGACACGCGGGGAATCAAAGACGTCCATCGTGTACGTCAGCAGCGGACCGTCAAGCGCGTAACGCTTGATGTTGTCGCGTGTTGGTTTCGTCAACTTCGCGAGTAATTTTTCGCTCGGGTCCCTGAGATAGTTGATGATTCCTGCATAGAAGGAATCATTCGCGTAGGATTCAGCGATCTGAGTTCGGATCGAAAGCACGGGGGTCGAAATCACCGCATTAAGTCCCAGTTCAATACAACACACACAGATATCTTCGTCGTCATCAACATACTCCGTTTGATGACCAATATCACGCCGAGGATCGTAATCAGGACGACGAGAAAGCGCATCGGCGAGAATGTTATTCTTGCCAGGCTTGTAATGCACCACAAAATTATACTCGGCAAAAAATGACAACCACCGTGCCATACGCTGGGACAAGTGAGGACTCTTGACGGCGGTTCGCAATGATGCGTGATCTGTGTAGATAGAAAACATCTTTTCGCCGAGCAAATATACTCTAAACTTGATTAGCGCGTAACGCATAGCCAAAAGTTCCTTGTCGTGTACCGGATAATTTCTCTCGGCAGGTTTCATCGTTCGTGATTGAAAACTCACGACGCGCTCTCGACCCTCGTCATCATATTGCATGAGAGCACATCCTATAGAGAAATTGCTCGCGTCACACACGACGTGGAATGGCTTAGAGTCATCAGGTAACATCAGCACCGGCGCCTCGGACAAGCTCTTCTTTACGGAGTCGAAGGCAGATTGATGTTCTGCCGTCCATAACCATACTGCATCTTTCTTGAGCAAAGTCGATAATGGCTGAATTAGCTCAGCATAGTTCTTCGTATACTTATGCAAGAAATTTGCCAGACCGAGCCATTGACGTAATTCAGTTTGGTTCCTGGGCGTTGGCCAGGAACAGATCGATGAGATCTTCTCAGGATCAGCGCGGACACCTTCCTTGCTGACGTAGCAACCGAGTACTGGAATCTCGGGAGCGCAGAAGACACATTTCTTCAAATTCGCATACAATTTATTCGCTCGCATAAGTTGAAACACCTGCTTCAAGTGTCGAAGGTGTACCTCCGTAGCGCTGAGCTTTTGCTCAGCGCGGCTGTGGACGAAAATGTCGTCAAAGTAGCTCGGTGCAAAGTCGCGAAGTGGGCGAAGTACTTGTGTCACCATCCGATTGAACGTAGCTGGAGCATTCTTAAGGCATTGTGGCATGACTAGCCACTCCCAAAGCATCCCGCTTGGGGTGCTGACCGCAGTGAACGGAATGTCACTGTCCCTCATGAGGATCTGATAGAAACCGTCTTTCAGATCTATGGCGCTGTAGATCTCGCTCCCGGACATGGTATTTAATACCATGTCTTTTCGAGGGATAGACGTTTGAGCCGGGATCGTGGCGTCATTCAGCTTGTTGAAGGCGTGCACAATGCGCCAACCGCCGGTGGCTTTCTTCACACAGAAAGTCGGACTCGAATGTGGCGAGATACTCTCGCGGACATGGCCAGCCTTGCGGCGACCCTCGAAAAATTCATCAATAGCGATGACTTGGTCGCGCGGTAACGGCCACTGCCGTGTCACGCAATATTTCGATCCTGGCACGAGATCTATCTCGTGCCGCACACCACGATCCGCCGGAAGCTCAGCTGGAATTTTCTCCGGGAAAATGTCGGCGTACTCACGGGCGATATCGTATACAGGGTTGCCCGAAGCACGAAGAGCTCCCAAGACTGTGCCGCGAAGCGTTCTTCGCGCGCTGATTTAGGCTCGGCGCTCTTCGGGCGAGCCTCCAGAACTTCTTTACTGGCTGCTTCGGTGGCTGAAAGGATGCACACTTGCTCGATGTCGCCGGCCTTGAGGTCATAAAGGAAGTCTTTCCATGTAAGGTCTGGCAGCGATGTGATATCTGCAGCAGTGCACGGTGGACTCTCTACCTCAATGTAGCGGCCACGATGTGGGGATCTCTCCACATATTCAAGTGCGCATACGGATACCGTCACTATGGAATCAAATGCATCAGCATGTTGACGTGAATTTCGTCGTCTCGTTGATCGGCGTGCTCCTTTCGTGCGTTTTCTCTTGCGTCTCGAGCCCCTGCTCGAGACTGGCACGTCGGTCTCATAAGAGGATGATGTACCCCCCTCTAGACGTGGGAGCTCTGTCTCCACCACGTCGGTCTCATGCGGATCCTTAGTCCGCCCATTCTCGTCAATTAAAAGCGGGAGCTCGTCTTCGACCGCTTCACTTGTTTGCGGGAGCCCCTGCTCGACCGCCTCGATATTTATCGGGAGCCTCTGCTCGTCCGATGTGCTTGTATGCGGGAGCCCCTGCTCGACCGCCTCGAAATTGATCGGGAGCCTCTGCTCGTCCGATGTGCTTGTATGCGGGAGCCCCTGCTCGACCGCCTCGTAATTGATCGGGAGCCTCTGCTCGTCCGATGTGCTTGTATGCGGGAACCGCTGTTCAACCGCCTCGCTGTGAATCGGGAACCCCTGTTCGACCGATGTGTGTGTGTGCGGGAACCGCTGTCCGACCGCCTCGTTGTGCATCGGGAACCCCTGTTCGACCGATGTCTGTGTATGCGGGAACCGCTGTTCGACCGCTTCGTTCTGTGGCTCCGTCAGTGTAACGGAACATACTGCGCACAGAGGGCCATCGCTCTCTCTGTGTTGACTACTAGTCGTGGCGAGTTCGTTCACGACCCTGACGTGAGGCCAATCGGATGAAGCGACCAACAAATGAGTAAACACTTCACTGACGTCATAACCGCTTCGTCGTTTGACGGACCGAGATAGCCAATCTATCTTCGGCTGATACCGTGACAGCCACGGTATCCCAAGTATGCAATCAAATGCATAGTTCATCTCGTACACCAAAAATTCGTCGTTACTCTGGAAACCGTCGAAAGTGTACGGTAAAACCACTGTTTTACGCGGGACACGTTTTGGTTGTCCATCGGCAAGTTTGACAACGATGTCACCTGGACCTTCTCGAACCGTGACAGTCGACGGGAGAAGGGACAAACAGGATGCACGAAAGAAGTTGTTGGAAGCGCCAGAATCCAACAACGCTCGAAGTGGTCGCTTCACTCCAGCGACGATGAGACTGATAATAATCAGTCTCGAATCATCGCGCATGGTGGTGGCATTGAAGTGGGTATGAATCACTTTGGGGCTAGGAGCCCGAGCTGCCACCTGAGTACTCGGGGCTCCATTTATGCCAGTAGGGCGCCCCACGCCTACTGGAACCGCTCGTTTTTTGGCGGGACCACCGACGACACAGCGTCTCCTCGTGAGACAGCTGTGTTCATCGTCACCGGCGCAGGTGCACGACAGACAGCCGCACGATGGCCTGTTTTACCACAGCGAAAACACTTCATCGTGTTAGGATTGCGAATGTCGCGGCTTAATGATTTGCCGCGACCACGAGAGGACTCAATTGCATCAATTTCCATTGGCTCTGGGCCAGACATCCGGGAATGTTGTGACGCTGCGTGCAGGTACGACGACGCGACAGTGTAATCCTCACGAAGCGCGAGGGCAAATGCCTCCTCGAGGGACTTTGGCTCAGCACGTGTGAGGCAGTAACGCGTCATGCCCTCTTGCATACCAAAGATAAAGACATGGACTTGTGAAGCCATGTCAATTGGCTGCGTGGTAATGCACGAAGCAAGATGACGTGTCTTCTGCACGTAGTCACGCATCGACAGCTTGCCCTGTCGGAGTGAGAAGAAATCTGCACGCAAGCGAGATTCATCTTGAGGAGGCTCGAAAGCCAGTCGTAAGTCACGCTGGATATCGTCCAGCGTAGGAAACGCCGACTCATCTACGACGAGCTTTCCGAGGGCCCATTCCTTGGCTTTGCCGGCAAGACGAGACAACAGGAAATTGACCTTGGCCGTCGGAGCGTCAATTAATCTTGACGCTATTGCAATATCCACCTCGCGAAACCAGCGATTGAGGGGGAGACGATCCGGACCATCACCGGAGTACGTTGACGTCTCCATCTTGATAGCGTCATGGTGCGAAGTGCGCGAGGGAGTCAATACTCGCCGATTCGCTTCGGCGAGCTCGCGCACCATAAAGTCTTGGATGGCGGCACGTTGATCATCAGGCGTCGCTGTGCTCAGCAGCGACGTCACAATAGTTTCACCAGACACCGCCGCGAGGCGATGTAGTGCCTGCCACTCCACCGAGGTGAGATGTGGGAAATCAGAATGCTCCAGCGAGACCGCTGGAGCCACCGAAGACTCGCCCATGTTCATCTCGAATCTGGTCATTGGAAGGACTACGAAGTGCTACCAGGTGTAACGGGCTAAGGACCCGTTACCGTCTTACACTAAAAGGGCGTTGAGGAAGCGCTCTTAATTAACTCGTAAATATAACTCTGTTTTAGTTTTGTTTTAGTTTTAATTCGCAGTAAGTGCGAATATGTTCCCTAGCTCATGGGAACCACTCAAATATGGAAGTCAATTTATTATTGGCTAATTATTGGGTCTGGCACCCCAATAATAAACCAATAATAAAATGACGCGCAGTATCCGCTAATCGGATACTGCCCTATGCCTACTTATGTAATTATGTATTAATCCTATAACTACTTATGTAATAGGTAGACCCATTACATTGACCAGGGCTTGTTCACCAAGTCCCTGCGCCATATGCTCTGCCAACTCCCTATGATGTTGGGAGAGGTGAGGGAAGTCACTCCAGTCCATATTAAGGACCATGTCAACCACACGCACGCTCAGAGAGACGGGTCGTGGAAAGGACTATTAGTGCTACCAAGTGTAGACGGGCACTTCTACGAAGTTGCTTCGTGCTACTAGCACACACCTTCAGCACAAGCGAGGAAGCGGTTAGACCGTCTTACCTTTGCGTGCGAGGGTGGTTGGGAGGTTGGTCGACTGCTTAAGCAGTCGTACCACCAGTTGCCTCTCGCTTAAGCGAGAGTGCAACGAACTTCTAATCAACAAGTCATTGACGTCACGCAGAAGTTTCTCAACTTCTGGTGCGTGGTGTGTTTGTTTAAGTAAATTCAAGACTGAGCTATATTTAATTAATTATAACTAAAAATAAAACTTAACTACTGATTGGCTATATATAAGAGAGAGAGAGATCGGATACGCGACTCTTTAGAAGCGTATCCTGTCGCATGATCTTAAATCTAGATGTAAGATCGCAACTGACGTCCTTCTGAGACGTCGTGATGCCTAGCTTCAACTAGCGTCATCCCTTCTCATGTGAATCCATTAATGGATATCACATTCACGAGGGTGGATCACATTTGTGTATCGCACACAAGTGATAGGTCAAAAGTAATCATGGATACTTTTAGACCAAACATTAAGTGTATTACTTAATGTTTACGTGTAACTAGATACCCTGTTACAGCAAATGTGAAGGTTGAAGCTTGAGCGAGGATATTTTAACGGATAGAGTAAAGCGCCAAGCTGGGACTCAATGATGTAGGCGGTATCTGGTCGCGATAGAACTACACAAGTGCATCTACGCCATAGAGCCGCATAGCTTAACCTGTTCTGAATCGGGAGCCCGCGCAATAGTCGTACCCAGATTGTAAACTTTCTCGCCAGCCGCCTTGACCTGGCGCGTTACCTCGGCTACGTTAGCCTCGGGTAGGAGTAGTACCATACCGATACCGCAGTTGAAGGTGCGAGCAAGCTCGGCATTTGAAAGGTTACCCATTTTCTGCAGCCACTTGAATACGGGAGGAAGAGGCCAGCTAGCACAGTCAATTTTGACAGCCAGGTCATTGGTCAGCACACGTGGAACGTTCTCCAGTAGACCGCCACCGGTAATATGAGCGAGCGCATGGATGAGGCCCGACTTCACAGTGGGCATCAGTTGCTTTACGTAAATCTTGGTAGGCGTCAGCAAGCTCTCGCCCAGCATCTTGCCAGTTTCGAACGGGCATGGGTCGCTGTACGCGAGGCCTGACAATTCAACAAGTTTACGCACGAGCGAGAAACCATTCGAGTGCACACCCGAGGATGCCAGACCCAGCACAGCAAAACCAGCCTCTACCGGCAACGGCAAGATAGCGTTCTTGCAAACGGCACCCACGCAGAAACCGGCCATATCGTAGTCGCCATCGTGGTACATGGAAGGCATCTCAGCGGTCTCACCACCGATAAGACCGCAGTTCGACTGGCGGCAGCCCTCAGCAATACCCTTCACCACATCAGCAGCCTCTTCCACTTCAAGCTTTCCGCAAGCATAGTAGTCCAGAAAGAACAAAGGCTCTGCACCCTGAACAATCAGATCATTTACGCACATGGCCACAAGATCGATACCTACGGTATCGTGCTTCTTAACGAGCTGGGCCACACGCAGCTTAGTACCCACGCCATCCGTACACGCCACAAGAGCCGTATCCTTATCATAGCCCGCAGCCTGAAGGTCGAATATACCACCAAATCCTCCTAAATCAGCGTCACAGCCTACACGCACAGTCGACTTGCAGAGTGGCTTAATCCTGTTGACCAGCTCATTACCAGCATCAATGCTCACACCGGCATCCGCGTATGTAATCTCCTTCTTATCAGCCTTGTTTCTCAGCAGTAGTCCAGTCTGTGCCAGCTTGATAGCATGCAAGAAAGCAGCACCTTCAAGAGGCTGAACACGCGCCTTCAGTGACTCCGGAGTGTCAGTCTCCAGAACAGGGCATTTCATTTGTACAGCTATCGGACCAGCGTCTACCTGCTCCGTCACAAAGTGCACAGTGCAACCACTCTCGGTCTTTTTCGCGTCAAGCACAGCGCGGTGAACAGCAAGGTCCATGCCTCCAGCAAATTCCGGGAGCAGCGACGGGTGCACGTTCAGCACCTTGTTTTCCCACTCCTTGCAGAACTCGCCAGACAGAATACGCATGTACCCAATGAGCAGCACGTAATCCACGCTTTTCTTCTTTAAAGCCTCAGACACTTGCGCGTCGAATTCAGCGCGCGACAAACCCTTGGTTGACAGGTACAGAGACTCAATTCCGTGAGTTTTTGCGCGCTCCAGAATTCCAGCAGCGACTTTGTCACTGACCACGATGTCAATGCTGGCGTTCAGCTCGCCGGCGGCAATCGCATCAATAATCGGTTGCATGCTGCTGCCACGAGTGGAGCCCAGCACGGCTAACTTTAACTTCTTGGCGCCATGCAGCAGGCCTTTTAAACCGATGTCTGAACGGTACTGAGCGCCCTCAAACTGAATCTTCGAGACGCCTGTATACGCAAGGTCGAGGGCACCCTGTAGCGAGGGACCTACAGCAGTAACAGCGAGCACACGTCCACCTGAAGTCGCGATACTGCCATCCGCACCATTCGTCGTGCCAGCATAAAATACGTCTACGTCTTTGAGCGATTGAGCGTCACTTAAACCCGTAATAACCTTGCCCTTCGGGTAGCTGCTCGGGTAGCCCTGCGACGCCATGACGATGGTAGCCGCAGCACCACTCTTCCACGACACAAGCGAGCGCTCAAGGCGGTGCTCCACGCAGGCACGCATGATCTCAAATAGATCACTGTGAAGCAGCGGAAGCACGACTTGAGTCTCCGGGTCACCGAAACGGCAGTTGAACTCGACGATCTTGGGGCCCGACGGAGTAAGCATGAAGCCAGGGTACAGAACACCAACGTACGGCATGCCTTCTTTCTTCATGGCGGCGATCACGCGCTCAACGATGCCAACGCACTCACGCTCAAGCTCGATGGTGAGGCACGGAGCAGGACCATAGGCACCCATGCCGCCCGTGTTCGGTCCCTGGTCGCCGTCCGAGATGCGTTTGTGGTCCTGCACCCCAGGCATGCACACCACACGCTCGCCGTCGCAGAATGCCAGGAGCGACACCTCCTCGCCAGTCATGAACTCTTCCAATACGACCTCATCACCAGCCGAGCCAAAGGCCTTCTCGAGCATGACCTCACGCAGGGCCTCGTGGGCTTCAGCTTTCGATGTCGGAATAAGCACACCTTTGCCGGCCGCGATGCCCGATGCCTTGACGACAATGTTGTGGTCAATCGAATCGACGTATTCCTTGGCCTTCTCGTAGTCCGTGAAGTTTTGGTACGAGGCGGTCGGGATATTGTTGCGACGCATAAAATCCTTCGAGAATGCCTTAGATGCCTCCAGCTGGGCGGCCGCCTTGCTGGGGCCGAAAGCCGGAATACCGGCAGTGTTCATCTTGTCTGCAAGTCCGTCAATCAGCGGGGCCTCTGGCCCCACCACACAGAAAGTCACACCCTTGCTCTTAGCAAAGGCAATGAGTTCATCATGCTCGTTCACACCAATGTTGACATTTGAGATACCAGCAGCTACGTCCTCCGTGCCGGCGTTACCGGGTGCTACATAGATGTGACCCGTAGAGGAAGACTGAGCCAGTTTCCATGCAATGGCATGTTCACGGCCTCCATTACCGACCAGCAGCACATCATGCACCACCTCGTCTTCACCGCTAAGACTGGTAGCAATGGCTCTATCTAGCTCCGAAAATAGCACAAAAGCTTTCTCAGCTAGAGCACGACGTTCACGCAACGAGAAAGCTAATGAACCGTCACGAGATAGTTTGCTCTGCACTGTGCTTAGGTCCGTTTCGTCCACAATGACGCTGATCTGCTTGTAGTTCCAAGCGGCGACACGCACGAACGAGTAAGCGCCGGAGAACCACTGGGTTACACGCGCATGGGCGGTACCATCCACGTCGACAGCACTGGGTGGCAGTGCTAATACAGCCACCACACGGTCCGAGAGCATGAGCTGCACGTCGGTGGGTGTGGCCACAGCTATAAACGGTACCTTGGCGGCTATTAGTGCGGCCTCCACGACAGGCGAGCACAGTGAAGCCACGCGCATGCCTCCGATCTGCAAAGTCGCCGCGGCCTGCACCAATGCATCCGGTGCATGGTCACCGCAGAGCACCACGAGCGGTGTCAATGGAGCCATTGGAAGGAACGAGTGGTCTGTCTCAAGGACGATATATTCCGATATGGCTGGCCAGCGAATGGCTAGTGGACCCAAGTTTTGCGTCAAAATTGACTCGACCCAGTTGATCTTGGATTAAGTATCAATCAATAAGTGCGTGGTCGATAATAATAGTGTGGTGCACTTTGTAGGCATCGAATACTGTTTTATTGCAATGAAGTACTAGTAGTCACTATTGTCATTGTACTGTATAGCTGGACTTTATTAGCGTAAGCAATAACGCTAGTGGAGAATTCATAGTCGTACTCAAGACAAACAGAGGCAAAAGTTAAATGTCCCACAATGACGTGAAGTAAGAGTTCTATTCACATCGAAGTTAAATCCCCATTCACTATTACGCTCACGAGTTGTGAATTGCAACGACCTACTGGAGAAGCTGAGCCAGCTACCAGATCAGGCTCAGTCAGACGCATTTAAGCAGAATCCGCGATAGTCACCTCGACCTCAACACCTGGTTCGATCGAGATCGACGTGATCTGCTTGACAATGTCCGAAGGGGCGTGTAGGTCGATGATACGCTTGTGGATGCGCATTTCAAAGCGGTCCCACGTATTGGTACCCTCACCACAAGGCGATTTACGCGTGGTCAAACGCAGAATCTTGGTGGGAAGACGCACAGGGCCAGAAACCTTTAGGTTCTTGTCCACGGCGCCGCGCTTGAGGTCCGTGCACACCTTTTCCAAGTTTTTCACATTACGACTTGTGAGCGTAATGCGAATGCGATGGATACGGGTCTCCTCCGCTTCGACGGTCTTTGGCTTATTGATAAGGGACATGGTGGATAGAGGGCTGCAGTAGAGACAAGAGAGGGCGTCAGCATTACTACTTCATACAAATGATAAGATCCTTTTGTCTACATTATTAAACCATACCAGTAACTTCGGACTGACAGTAACCTGAATCCAAAAATGAACGTGTCGATTGATATTTTTTTTATATCATGCGGTTGGAAATGGGTGGCAGCCAGTCATGACGATATAAAGTAACTTTATGAAGTGGTGTGCATACTGTCCTGCAACATGTGTCCGTTACATCGGTACGCAAAACGTCTCACCTTCAAGCGACATCCATCTACTTTCGCAGCCGATCGGTCGATTATGAGTGTGACGCTGTCTGGTCGCCCCGCCGCCGTGTGTCTCGGCATGGGCGTGGCTGTACTTGCTTCCGTGTCTTTCTCTCGACATAATACAAATCTATGGCGTGTCTTTCGCCAAGCGTCTGCAAACTGTCGATCTCGTCGCCATCTCTGCAGCTCCAGCTCCAAACGACTGTCACCAAGTGCGCGACTCTTGCCATGCGTTCAAGAACTGGAACAAGCGGATCTCAAGAAACGCAGTAAACAAACGATAACAGTCGTTCAGGTGGCAATAAAATGGCTGAAAAATTGCTGCAAAAAAGCATTCCTGACAATTGAATTCTATGTATCAACAGCTCAACATTTTAGCAAGTAATTTGGCGACGCGGAATCATTTCCCGTATGTTTTGGAGTCAAGTTTAAACTGGGAGAATCGTAAATTGGCGTTACTTCGACAATTGGACGCATTGGATGCAGATGTCGTGTGTCTTGAAGAGCTGAGCGACTATTGGACGTACGTGGGAACGAGTGCTTGGAGACATGGAAAAAAGTCATTGACATTTGTGTGTGGCTGCAGGTTTTTCAAGCCAGAATTACAAGACCGAGGGTATGAAAGCGTCTACGTGAAACGTCCATCTATCCATGTTTCAAACTGGTCGGGTGAGAAAAAGCACGATGGCTGCGGAATTTTCTACAAGTGAGTGAGCGTCCACACGCTAGTGGTGCCTACATATGAAGTCTTCTTTTTGACGGTGGTACTTCATGTTATGGCTTTAGAAAAGACAAGTTTGAGCTGAAAGAGTTTGAAGCTATAAACTTTCATGACCCACATGACCGAGTGGCTGTTTTGGCGTTACTGAAGATGCGTCACTTTGCGCAGTTCGTGTTGGTCGGCTGCACGCACTTATGGTGGAATGCCAAGTAAGTTGTGCTTTGTCGCATGATTTGTAAAGAAAAGTGCTTTTCCATGAGCTAATTGGAGTTATACGTGTGTCTAATATCACCACAGGAAGATGGATCATCAAATGGCCGAGCTGTTTGAACTGGAGGAAGAGGTTATCCGTATGAGCAGCGATGTGAAAGACAAATACGAGCGTGATTTAGTTGAGACTGTAACTGGTCCGAACAGGGTACCAATCGTACTCTGCGGTGACTTTAACAACTGTCCCGAATCGCCAATTTACGAGTACATGGAAAACTCGTTCATGCAGAAACCCAATTTGGAGGGCGTAAGCGAAGTTTTTCGTAGTGCGTACGCGTTCTACAAGCCAAACGCACTGGCGAGTGCATTGGAACACTCGAAAGAGGCACTGCAGTCTTTCAAGGTAGAAGAAGGCAAGAAGGCTGAGCCGCCACACACTACTGTAAACTTCCGGCGCTGCTGGACGATTGACTATATCTGGTACACGAAGAGCAGTTTGGTCCCGTCACGTGTTCTGGCGATTCCGCCGGAGACGGAATTACGAGCTGAAGATGGGCCAGGAAACTGGTTTAATCAACTGGCCATGACAGACAATTTGAACCCTTCAGGTCGCCTGCCATCGGGTCTGCACGGCAACTACAACGGAATTCCCAATTCTGTTTTTGGCAGTGACCATGTGCCCATCATGGCTGAGTTTGAGTTTCTCTGTGCTAGTAAAGACAGGAATGTCGAGAGCAACGAGTGAAAAGTACTAACAACATGTCGAAAGTATCAATATGACTCAGTAATAACATCCGACTCACCTCATTCCATCGTGTAAACCCAACTTTACGTTTTCTCAACATTCTTCGGTTAAAACCGCCATTCCATGTGTCTCCTCCGTCGTCTACAGGCACCCGTGTGGTCTCATAGTAGACGAACAACCTCTCCATATAATATCCAGATTCATGCACCTCCATTTCCATCGATACAGATGTGTTTGCCATTGGTAAGTCACGTCACTAGACATGCAATAAAGACTTGCAAATTCTAATGTTTAAACGATAAATAGCTGCAAGAAGTTTCGACGTGGGCGCTTGCAGCGGACGGACTGCAGCAAAAGTGGAAGGGCCTAAAACAACGTACTGTATGGCGCTACAAGACACTCAAGGATAACAATAAGGCTATCGTTTTTAGTGATGAGATGCAGAAGGAAGTGCATCTGAAGCCTCGCAATCGACGGCTGGATGACCCTTTGGCTTGTCACAATGTGCTAACAACAGTATCAACGTCGAGTCTCAATGGAATTTTAGGTGCTACATCACCCGAGGATTCGAGTCAATTCTGCAAGACAATGGTTGGCTTTATGCTGTATACGTGTACCCCGTCTGGACGTGCAAAGGTGTTGGACGTCCTCACGAAACAGAGACTAGGAGAGATCACGATTGCCAATCGAGCACTAATTATCCGGGCTATTCAACGCTGTTTATTGTCACCGCTGGTCCGTGACAAAGCTGTGCTTCATAGTGCTGCGAAGAATGTCGTCTGTGGCACATTTGGCTTGGAGCTGTCCGTTTTGAAGGAGCAGATTCATTCAGACGAAGAGGCTTTTATTGATGCAGCGGGTCACATTCAGTTTGGAGATCGTATGGATTCAGGTAAGCTATTATTCCGCCGAACAGTACCAATGCAAGAAGAACCACCGCACTCGGGAGATCTCATCCAACTCATTTTCGGAAACAAGAATATCACGGAAGTTGTGGCCATGATGCAGCATATTGCGGTGGAAAGTGTGAAGGTCAAGGAGAATCAGCCAAACCTGATCAAGGTAATGAGCGATATTGATGACACTCTCTTTCCGGGATGGCTCGATAAGCGCTATCCACTGCACATTCCCTACCCAGGCGTCTCAGAACTCTATGCGCGGCTATCACGTGGACTTGCACAAGATGCAAACGGCGAGAGTGTGCGCCCGTCCATCACCTTTCTCACTGCTAGACCTCGTGGATGGCTAAGTGTTGGACGCTATCTAACGCTGCAGCACTTGAAAAGCCTAGGAATGCCGAACGTCACGGTGCTTAACGGGTCAGTGAAAGGTCTTGTAAGCATCGAGAAGATCGCGAATCTCAAGATGGACAACTTCACTCGCTTTGCAGCATTATTTCCAGAGTTCAAGTTTGTCTTCTTTGGTGACTCAGGTCAAGGCGATGCGCTGTTGGCATTGCGACTGCTGAAAAACTGCCCAGAGCAAGTACTTGGTACTTTCATTCACAATGTGAGTCCGATCTTTGCTCGGACCGGCGATGGTGGGGCAAAGCGGGCGTACGCTGCGTAAGTGTCTACAAACTTTTGGTATTTCTTCCTTTTCATTGAAGAACTCCGACTTACTGTGGTGTGCATGTTGATACTTACAGGGAAGGTGTCGAGTTCTTTGAGACTTATGCAGGTGCTGCGCTTGGCGCGTACAAAAAGGGGTTGATCTCAGCCAAGGACGTCTTAGCTGTGGCGGACGCCTGTACAAAGGAGCTGGACGAAATCCTCTTTCTTGAACCTGAGGCCACTGCCACAAAAACAAAGAGACGCCTGGAACTGCAGCAAGATATTGACCTCATTCACACGTGCTTGCATGCGACGGAAGCGTAGGAGCGTATCCAATCAAATTTTGTTGTCCATTCTCCTTTCAGTGTCTCTCTCAGTCACTGCGATGGACCGTGAGGAAGTGCGAGCACGCATGTTGCGTCTGTGGAAGTTGCTGAGCTCGAGCGATACGGCTCGCACTTCTTGTCTTACCACCCAGAGGTCAGCAATGCTCAGTATCTTGGTCTTCTTAAACAGTCAACGCTAATCTCTTTTGTCTTCACTGTATGTACCTACTCATTAACAGCATCATGGTGCATGCCGATTCAGTTATCGCTAATGCAGGGCAGACACTCTTTGCCTGCTCGAATCTGTCTACTCCTCTTGGCACCTACCCACATGCAGTCCTACGAGACCAAGATATTGCTCAGATCGAGCAGTCGTTGACGGCTAAGGAACTACAAACCCTGGTGCTTGACGTCGTGAATAACGGTTATGCATAGGCTTGCCGTAACTCTTTCCAGCTTTCAATGAAGCGTGAAGGAAGATCTTTGCAGCTTGACAGTAGCAATTGTTATCCAGATAAGGTGATCAACAGGGTTTGCCCAATGGCCACAACTTTTCTTTATCGTAGTTCATAATGTACATGTCCAGCGCAGCATACTGATACATGTTGGGAAAAAATAATGAGTGTCTGCATCAAACCCGTTGTGAGCACGGCGATCACGGTGCACAACATGCGCAATAGTAGACGGAAGGGGTCCATCAATAGATACAAACAAATAATGCGCTGGAATTGCTGAGACGGAAGAGGGTCATGCTCACAGGCGAAGAATCACACACGACTGGCGGGAAGCCGTCTCATTGTCATCAGAAGGAGGCGAAACAGTTGCTGCAGAGACGTTTACATCGTCGTCATTCGTTTTGTTGCCTGCCTTCACATTATCCCACGCTAATGTTGATGTAGTGTCTACCGGAGACTTGTGCACGGGAAAGGATACACCTGAAACCGGTTGCACGTGCGGTGACAAGGACGAAGACGACCCCGACGATGACAGCGACGTAGCTTCACTGCTTCTACTGATGATGGAAGGCAAGCTATTCTTGCCAACGTTAGCAGCAGCAACACCACCAGCTAATCCACACCTGTCAGCCTCGGGGCTGCCAGTGTCACGAAGTCGGTACAGGACATTGTTCGGCAGAGCTGGCCAGTCAACGATTAAGTGGCGAACAGAATGCTCCACGCGAGACTGAAATCTACGCACAAGAGCCGCTGCAACGTCTTCTGGCAGATGCGAGCGGTGTTTGAGCGACGTGCGCTTAAGCAGGTCCACTAACTCTGTGAATGTCAGCAAAACGCCCATTTCCGCGCGTGCATGAATGACACGAACCACGCCGGCCTCGTCTTCGAAGGGGATATAGTTGGGCTCGCAAGGCATGCTCATTTTGTGTTGCTGGCGTTTCTTGAGACGGCGATGAAGTGCCGCAAAGTGCACCCCATGGGCCTTGGCAGCGTTGCGTAGACTCATGCCATGGATAGCAACATCCTCCATTGCTGCTTCCCACACCTTGGCCGGCACGAGGTTGCTCTGTCGGTAATTGCGGTCGCTGCTGGTGCTGTCAGGGAGGCTATACCTGTCAGAATGACTGTTTCGGCTTCCTGCACTTGGGCTTCGGCGATACCTGCCATTATCACGCAATTGATGCTGCAGTGGGTAGAAGCGTAGACGCTGAAGCGGCTTCGCACGGCTCGTTCCATCCATTTTCCCATTGGCATCGTCCCATACGTACGAGACGTGCCGTTGTATCGGACTGTGTTGCGGTGGTGATGGTGAAGGCGGAGTAGCCGGTTGGCGGTACTTGCGGCCCTGGATCCAGTGTGCCTGGTCTTCATGATCTTGCTGCTTCTCCAGCTCGTACTTCTGCAGCTCAAGCTCGTAATTGCTGGTGTTATGGCTCTGCAGCTGGCGTTGCGACGGCACCTTCGAGTGGTTCCCGCTACTTGTTCTGTCCCCACAACGGACCATATCGTCGACGTCGACAAAGCCGTTCTCACGCTTAAATGTGGCAAGCCAATTGTCAGACGGGAAATTCGGCGGCAGAGCGCGACGACCGTTGTGTCCGACGATGGCGCGTGCCACGTCCGCAATGTCAGTGTCTGCGTAGCCCTCGAGTCTGTCATAGCGTCCATCACTTGTCTCGTACTCGTCGTACTGCTGCGGCATGAATTTCTCTCGTAGCACCGCGACAACCTCATCATTGATCTCGGGTGTGAGTTCGCACACGGGCGGTGGTACCATGACGGCCAAGGGTGTCACAACCGGCAGTGACATGCCACTGGGGCTGTTATGACCAAGTACCACCGAATTCAAGCGTGGAAACACGTAGTGCTTGTTGGAAGGCTCAGTGTTCTTGTTGCTACTGGCAATGGCCAGCGCCGATAAACGACTGTCCTCGCTATTGGTCGGACTTGTGCTGTGCAATCGGGTCGACGATGTCTTCCGGAATTGCTGCAGCGTGTGCTGATGCACGAGACGATGCAGTGCTGCCTGTTGTAGCCCGAATGTTTGGGATGCTTGACGCAAAGTGAGACGGCGATCAACGACAGAATGAACGGCTTGGGCCCAGACACGATCACTTATAGTGTTGTTGCTGTTGCTGCTCATGCTGTTCGGTTTGTTTCTCCGTTTTGGTGGAGGCGAGTTTCGTTCCGACTGTTGGAACAGTGGGCTAGGGGTCGGAGTTGGTGGCACTTTTGAAGAATGGGGTTTCTGGTGTATGAGTTTGTTTTTTGGCTCGCGGATGTTCATTTGATTTTTGTATAGCACGACGGCGCTGTTCATGTAACGGTAAAGAATCCCGCCGAACAAAATTGTACCGAACACAGGGAGGGGCGTTCTCGAACATCTCAGGAACAAGTAAGGTAGGATGCAACAGGGGTCGGTGTTCGATTAAACCTATTTTCAAAGAAAAAGGTTTATGAAATGTGGTAGGTGAGATTTAAGACTGCAAAGCTCGTATTGGCTCACTAGCTCGTATCTTCCTCAGTAGGTTTTTGCGAGATAATGAGCTTTTAGGTAGGGCTGCAAAGCCTGTCCTCAACGGCTGCGCTTCTGGGACGGAGACGCTTTAAATTTCAAGACATCCCGGCTATAAGATTTGCCTGGCCGACTCATCGGTCGTGCTATCGTTGCTTCCGCTCACGGTTGCGCTCGGTACACTTCCAGCCTGAAGTTCCAGGTGCAAGAAGGACTGAACGCATACAATCATTGAAAAAGTGTCGTTTCAGCAAGGCCTTGCGGTGTGTGGCGAGCATTGTAGGTGCGCGCGCCTGTAGCGACTTTTGTTGGATATCCGAGCAGATGGTGCGATTTCCAAAAGGAGGTGATGCTATCTTATGGTAAGTCCGACGCGTGCTTACATCCTGACAGCTGCCACTACTGGTGCCATGCATTAGTGCATGTTACATCAAACGATAGGTCTTCGAAAGCGAAGGCTCTGTTCAGGGCAAGACACCTAAGCATTGCAGAGCGTTTATCGTAGACATTATGTTTGACTCTTTATTGTCATTTGGTTTTCGCAGTCAGTTATAAAACATCATGCCACTCGACTGCTTCCCGATCACGTTAGAAAAGGGGTAAGGCCAAGATTTTTCACGATCTGTATCAGTAGAATATTTTGTCATATGGTCTGACCTGTTATAATATCTTAATGAGCATCGAAACACGTCCGACCTTTAGTGTCTCATTTTGCGCGGGTGTACTTTCGACAAATGATTAGGGCTAACATGCGACAGTGCAAGCCAAATTTTGGATAATTCCTTTTTTTTTAAATCCACAACCCATGCGTTCCTCTTCACATGTAATCCAAAACATATCCTTAAGCATCACAGAGCTCGCTAGCATCAAGCGCTAATTGCTGACTGTTGCCCGCTGCCAAAAACATACACATTAACTTCACAATCTTAACAAGTCACAAGATGTTTCAGCTCGGATTTGAGTCACCTTAAACTGCCGTGAACCTTTATTGTAATGAGCCACCTTATGGCTCTCTATAAAATGTTCATACTATCTTACACAATCACGAGCAAAAGTTTGCTGGATCAAACTCTGAAAAGGTAGTGCTCTCACCGCTTATAAATGTTCTTCACTCAGATTTGTACTTTCTGGAAGTACACCTACTAAGGCAAGATTGTTTTGCTTCGTTTGGCAACTCTGCATCTACACATGTTGATTGAACTACTAAAATCTTCTATGGTTTCGAATAGGAGTCATACATTATAAGAAGAAGTACATTTGCCTCTGTATCCAACACAGATTTCATTCGATGACTACCAAATAACCTTATAAAATCAATACAATATGGCTGGCACTTACACTTAACTCAATACTCTTAAATATTCGTTTGTTACCTTAGACCAATCGTATTCATCAGCGCTGTTACAGTACGAAGCTGAATACGTCCTACAACATAGAACGAACAATCTCGGTCGGCCACCGCCTCTGCTGCCTCAGAAAATGTGACAGTGGTTGAATTCTCACCCGCATAGTTATCCACGTACTTGCACAAGTACACGACAGAAACAAGGAACTGCCTCGATTTCATAGCGTGGATCATCCTTGATCAGAATCAGGCGTACGTCGTCCATCCCGACAAAGTCATCCGACCCGAAAAGGCACTTTTTCGCAGGGTAAACCATGTCTAGCATAAAACAAGTTACTCCCAAAGTATATGTAACCACGCATTTTCAAAAGCGGGCATACTAGATGAGCAAGCTTAATGGACATACGGGTAGGGTCAAATCGCATCCATTTTGTCATCAGGTGACTTCATAGTCGAGAGTCTATAAATGGAATCGTTGGCCAACATGTGGTCGGGACTAAACGAGATGACACGGACAAATCTTTGCAGAAGAATACCATCATCCTGAACGTGGTGGATCTTGGAATATCTACATGGTAATAATCAGTAGTTGCGTGCTCGGTGTTTTCAAAGTCTCAAGGTCAACGATACCGATAACACGCAAAAAAACGAGTGACTTACTACGTTGACACGACAAGAACGCGACCTACGTGAGTATTTCCAATCCAACAATACAAAGCATGACGTAGGCATCTAGTGTAGCAATCAGCCGTCAAGTTTGGTTCTATCAACCATCATTGAGGAAGCCTAGGGAAGCCAACCTCAAGGAACGAACAGTAAAGTTCAAACTATTTGAATCCTTTCGGCCAAGATTTGATCAAACTCGATGTATTGTTCCATGTTTCAATGCCTTCACGTGCGAGAGTCACCGAATGAAAATGACAGGACGACAGTAAAATGTTGGTAAGGCCATGAACTTTAGCCAAAATCTTGCTGTCGTCGGTCGAAATCCGACACGAGGCCAAGAAAAATGAGCCGTTATCTTTCGTCTGATTGTCGTCACAGTAGCTTCATAAGAGTTTGCGTAGAAATCAGACTTAAAGCTGAATCTTCTCGTTGATCAATACGTAACAAGCATGTTCACCGCTGCTGTGCCTCCCCCTCAATCTCTTCGTCCCCCCACATCCTCAGTGGAACTTTCATTGAGTGCGAAGAACCTCAAAGACCGTGACATTCTCTCAAAATCCGATCCATTTGCCGTGCTCTACGTAAAAAGTAAACAGCCTCAATCTAAACTGTTGGATGTGCTTGTAAGATAATGACTCTGTTTTCCTTCCTGGACACAGATGGTACTAGCTGGACCAAGTTGGGCAAGACGGAAGCCAAGAAGGATGATCTAAATCCGACATGGACCAAGCTTTTCAGTTTGGAATTCCACTTTGAGTCCGTTCAGCAACTCAAGGTCGAGGTCTACGATCAGGATAGCTCGTCCCCTGGAAAGCTCAAGGAACAGGACTTTATTGGAAAGGCAGAGTTTACTCTAGGCCAATTGATGGGGGCTCCAGGCCAGAGTGGGTCTTTCGTGCTCACTCGGGGAAAACCCACGGCCAAGCACCAAGGCTCACTTCTGGTAAAAGCCGAGGAGGTCAAAGCTTCGAGCGAGGCGGCACGACTCCGTTTCACTGCTACAGGTCTGGCCAATATGGATGGGATCTTCAGCAAGAGTGACCCGTTTCTTGTGATCAGTCGTCTGCGAGAAGATGGATCCTACACGCAAGTGCATAGGACCGAGACCATTGACAACAACTTGAATCCGAATTGGAAACGCTTCGAACTGCCGCTACAACAGCTGTGCAATGGCGACTACAAGCGTCCTCTGAGTCTGCAGGTGTTTGACGAGGACCGTGGTGGCAAATCAGAGCTTATTGGACAAGTGCAAACGACTCTGGAAGAGATTCGAGGGAAGCAAGGGTCTAGCTTTGTGCTGCACAATGAGGCGCTGCAGAAGAAGAAAGGCAAGAAGTACACAAATGCTGGACTGCTTGTGGCTGCGGAGGTGGAGATCTACAGAGAGCACACTTTCATCGACTACCGTGAGAAATTCCTGTTACGAAATGAATCAGTAGCAGCGGCACAAGAGGCTCTAACGCTTGTGTTGTATTGTTTGTGTATCAGTTCGTGGTGGTTTGGAGATGAACCTGATTATTGGTATCGACTACACGGCATCAAATGGCCCACCCAATGATCCTCGCAGGTACACATACAATATGATTGTTGTTGTGTTTGTAGTGAATGAAGCCCGAAAATCGTGATCACTGATTGTTTGTGAGGTGCTAACGTCTGTGTGTAGCCTTCACTTTCTCGATCCTCGCGGACCGAATCAGTACCAACATGCGATCTCATCGACGGTTTCTATTTTGCAAGAGTATGATGCAGATAAGCAATTTCCGGTGTATGGATTTGGTGGGATTCCTCCCGGGGCTCATGACGTCGATCACTGCTTTCCACTGAATTTGAACCCGTCGAACCCCGAGGTTGCGGGTTCTCATGGAGTACTTCAGGTACAGTTGACATGAAGGGCTCGCAGTGTTTCTACAGTGCTGACTCAGTTTATGGCTAGCTCTACACGTCATCTCTCGGGCACATTCGCCTCCATGGACCAACGTTCTTTGCCCCGTAAGTTACTTCTGCATGTCAACTGTTGAGGCAAAGCGTTATGGAGGCTAAAGCTTACACTTCTCTTTCTTGTTTTTGCAGCCTCATTAATCAGTCCTTGCGAATCGCGGGTCAATTGGGTGACCCTCGCAAGCAGAAATACTTTGTTCTGCTTATTATCACGGGTACGTTGACATGCCTGATTGTTCGTTTGCTTCTTAAGTTGAATACCCACTCTGGCGCGTGCTATGTTTGAAGATGGTGCGATTATGGACATGCAGAAAACGATTGATGCGCTGGTTGAGGCGTCCCACGTATCACCGCTATCGGTAAGCATCTACTGAAATGGCGATCCTCATGTGCTACTAACGGATGTTTCTGCCAACTACAGATCGTTATAATTGGAGTGGGTCCCGCTGACTTTTCGTCCATGGTAGCTCTTGACGGAGATGGAGGGAAGTTGCGTGCCAGTAATGGGCGAGTGTCTGCACGCGATATGTAAGCTTTTATACTAAGTAGTTTGCAATCTTTGCACGCAGAAGTATTGACGGCAATGTATAAATGATTGGTGCACCGCAGCGTCCAGTTCGTTCCATATAACCGCTTTGCAGGGTACCCAGACGCATTGGCGAGAGAGACGCTTGCAGAGATTCCCCATCAGCTGTGCCAGTTCATGAAAGTGCGGGGTGCCACGCCCAATCCAGCACTTCCGCCGACATATCACCTGTTTTCGGAACCGTCTGGGCCCGAAACAAGTTCTCAGCCTTCTCCTGCTGCAGTCTCTTTGCCTGCACAACAGCAGCATCTTGCGCAAGGTGAACACGCGCCGAAAGGATATCACACTCAAGTACCACCTCAAGGACATCAACAAGGAGGCCATCCTCCGCAGCAAGATCACACCTCTCAAGGAACTTCCTACGGAGGCTATCCATCCCAAGGCTACCCTGCCCAAGGCCACACCGCTCAAGGGCCTTCCCAGGGATATCAGAACCAAGGAGGGTATCCTTCTCAAGGCTATCCTTCTCAAGGCTATCCCGCCCAAGGCCCGCCACAAGGCTACTCTGCTCAAGGCTGCTCCGTCCAAGGCCCGCCACAAGGCTACCCAGCCCAAGGCTACCCCACCCAAGGTCCGCCACAAGGATATCAGCAAGGAGGTCAGCCTTCCCAGCAGGGCTATTCTGCCAAGGGCCCTCCCCGTGGAGCTGCTCCAGGATATCCAGGCTACCGTGGCTGACTAAGTGTTCCTAGAATTTCGTGAAGGATTCGTGGTGATATCACAATTCCTGACGAGTTCAACCTAAGCTTCGTTGATTTTCAAGTCCAAAGCTGCTTTCAGAATAACTTTGTTACGTCAAGAGGTATTGCTTCAGTAATTGCTCCTCCTGTACGCCATGTCAGCGAGGATAATTGGTTGCGCTGTCTGTTGATTCCTGTTGCAGCGATTCCATAACTTTCTTCGTCGATATAACGCTGTTAGGAATGTAGACTAGTGCACATTCAATGTCTACAGCACCGTCCGTTTTGCCTGCGACTACACGTGCAAGCAACGTTTACTTGATGGTGATAAGCGTATCACGAGAGCCTGGTGCGAGCATGATAGCACTTGAGCTTGAACTTGCAATCCATACGCGCGTGCAATACATTCCAAACAAGGTGCAGCAAGGTGCATATGTAGCACGGCGTTCAACCGCAGCATGGGCTTCTTTGGCGGATACAAACTGCCTTCTTGAGTGTCTTGAATCGTCCTGTTCGAATCTGCTTGAGTTGCATCCGCACGAGCACGCATGTTTCGTATAGATATCGCGCTTAGTCGATCCCGTTTGGCTGGACAATCACTTGACCTGTGACTAGAAAGAGACAAACCCGCTGCTCGATCTGAGACTGCTGCTAAGCATGCTTCACTTCATGACAATGCTAGCGTCCTTTATCTACAGCTTCATTGTGACGCCTATGATTGACTTCTCGTTCTCGTAGATGAAGCTGTCCGGGTCGGAAAGAAGACTTGGTATTTGAACCTCCGACGTCTTCGGTAGCATATCATTCGTTTCAAGATTATCTGGAGCAGCAAAAGGTTCGGAACGGACAGGCGCGGGTTTGTTATCGATGTCATTGCAAGACAACATTGTTACTACTATTCGGGTACCTGCTATCAATGGCAGTGTCGGTAGGTTGTCACTTACATCCCGTATTCCAAACGATCACGCTCGATTCGAAGCGAGACACGTGCTTATAGGGCTGACAGTATCTCCACAAACGCTACCAGGTCTGAAACCTGAGAGCTGCGATGTCTCAAGGCAGCATACTATCGTACCGCTGGCTATCTTGCTCCTGAAATGGTGCTAGATAACATCCATAACCGCGACGTTGACTCCAGGTGCCAGAAGTCCTGATCTACGGACTCTTTTTCAATGGCAGAGTCCAGCAAATGTAGTTTGCCAAAACACCAGTAGGTAGAAAGTTGAGTCTTCTAGCTGGGTGAGTTTGTCCTGTCGGGACATCGCACGGGCCATTTGCTCTTGCGAAAAGAGTGACCGCTTACTATCGATCGAAACCGTAGACGTCTCCAACTTCATGCTGTCAACGACATCAGAAAAGCTCTTAAATACAAGTCGGAAGGACACGACTGGAGCACAGATCTTAGGTAGACAGACTCCTGGATGTGTAAAGTATCAATCAAACAGCATAAGATAGATTGCAGTCAGTGAATCCAAAGGAGAACTGAACATTGCATCACTACAGTTTTAGTTTTTTTTTCTGCTTGGAGCGAACCTTTTTGTTCGTAGGTTTCTTGACCGATAGCGGATTCGGACCCTTTGCTCTCTTCTTCAGCAATCGCTGCTTCTCTGCTTGTCCCTCTTCGCTTTCTCCAGCCTGCATTTGTTTCAGCTTTCTCTTCTCGTTCACGTCGAGCTTGGCCCTATTGTTTTTTTCCTCCTGCCGTACGATCGCCAGCGTAGCGTGCGAGATCTCCTCAAACACCAACACAGAGCGGTTCAAGTACATAAGTGGCACACCAGGTACAAGACGTAGTGCCTTCCGAAGCTCCACTTCCTGCGTGCACACGACAAATTTGCGGTCATTCTTGTCTCCAATGATGATCTGAATGGCCTTGGACACGTCCACGGGTTTGCCCTCCTCTTTCTCTGATTGGTCATAACTCTCCGCCACTTTAAAGCTCTTGGCCAATTCATAGGCTTCCTTCATAGTCTTCCCCAATAGCTGCAGCTCCTCCAGTGCTGCACGAGGCACGTAAAACTCACACTCGTACGGTTTGACCTGTAAATACTTGGGTACACGCTCCTGCACATCCACTTTCATCTGTAGACACATGGCAATAAAATTACCATCCAATAGTACCTTGTATGGTGCTTTAAGACCACATAGAAAGTGAAACTGACGCAGGGCTTTGCGAATTCCTTTGGCACGTAAATACCGCATCTCTCTCTCTCTCTCTTTACCAGTCAATTGGACACTGAGGTGATGGTAAGAGAGGATTGGCTGAAATGATGTATTAATAGCAATGTGATTGGATAAAACCATCATCACGCTATCTTGAAACGACGCATGAAAATATATTACCGGATAGGCAGGCACTTGGTCATTTATTTTCCAATACAAAAGTCCGTAAAGAGGACATTGAGAACATCTTCCACGTCGATCCGACCGAGGATTCGGCCTATCGCCATGACCGCTCGGCGAAGATCTTCGGCAGCAATTTCGCTCTGATAAGGATTAGCCAAGAAACGATCTAAACACGTTAGACATTCGACGATATTTTGTCGATGACGCTCTCGTGTAATCAGTGCACCATTCGTAACGCCGCCAGCAGAGATCTCTAACCTGTACGCAACCATAATGAAAACCTACAATCAATCAGCCTTTTGATAATCTATAGTACACGTACTTTTCCTTGACTGTGGTTGCAAGCTTGTCCACGAAGACGTCAATGTTGTCACCCGCTGCACAAGAAATAACCAGTAGCTCATCCCGTTGCTTTGTGTCAAAGGATGCCAGTAGCTGTCTGATCTTTTCCTCATCCACTTGATCACTCTTGTTCAGCACAGCAATTGCACCTCTCTTTAAATAGAATTGGCATTCATCATTTTGGAGTTGATTGGCATTCTACACAAACACACATTGTAGTGAGACAAGCAAAAAAACAATCGCTCTCAGCACGTGCAGCACTATCTCCTTTACCTGAATGTCCACCATAACCACGCATATGTCTGCTTCACTGGCACACTGCTGAGCCCTCAAAACACCTTCTTTCTCAACAAGATCTTCGGTTTCGCGCAGCCCGGCAGTGTCGCTGACAATTACAGGGTACCCAGCGATATTCAAAGGCACTTGCACAACATCTCGTGTTGTTCCAGCAATCGATGACACGATTGCTGCTGGCCGACGTGCAAGCACATTCAATAAGCTGCTCTTACCCGCATTAGGCGGGCCAACGATGGCTACCTGGACCCCACTGCGCAGAATTTCTCCTCTCCTGCCGTCTGCCAGATGACCACGGATCGAGTCTGCAAGCGCACGAACACTACACCGACACAAGAATGACAACGTATTAGCAAAGGTATTGTCACGCCGACATTGAATCTTCGTTCGTAACACCCATGCTTACCGACCGACTGCAGTTTCGTAGGCAGCATCTGTGACATCGTCTTCGTCGTCACCAAAGTCGATCATGGCTTCCGTGTAGGCCAGGCACTTGATAAGGCTGTCGCGCCAGCCTTCATAGATATCTCCAATATCACCCGAAAGCTGTCGAAGTGCCTGTCCACGCTGAGCTTCCGTCTCAGCACTCAGTAGATCTGCTAATCCCTCCACTTGCACCAAGTCGATCTTATTGTTATCAAAAGCTCGTTCCGTAAACTCTCCTGCTTCTGCAGCACGGCAATGCTAGTCCAGTATTTCCCAATTATAACGTATATACGTACCACCACAATGACATGAGTGATGTACTTACAGGAACATGGCTCAACGCTTCCAATACACCAGCGACGACCGCAACACTTCCGTGTGTATGCAGTTCCACAATGTTTTCACCTGTAAAACTATCAACCAACCACCAAAACCCAAGCATCAGTAGCTCCTCTACAACTACATTGTATCATTGCGTATCACCTCTTTGGATGTGGGAACCGAAGCACCAAAGCGTCGTCTAGATGTTCCTTCGTTTTTGGATGGTAGAGCTTCCTCATTGCAGCGCTGTCTCATCATTCCATCCACACACACCACAGTCAACAGTAGCTCACAAGAAAGTATCACCAATTGACACAAGTTGCACTCACATCCGAGGTCCCGGCAGTGCCGTGGACATGCTGAGCTGCTGAAGACACGAGTCCGCCTGGTCGCCGGAAATTCGGATGACCGCCACACCTGATTTCCCGGGCGCAGAAGACAGCGCGTAGATGGTGTCAAGATCGTAGACACCAAGTCCATTGTCGTTCGAATTGAGCGCAGTTGAAGCGCTTGCATACTGTCGAGTCCGGGCAGCGATAGAGCGGCCGCATAGTCGGTGGAGCATTTTGTTTGGTTGGTCCTCAAGTGCTTCGCGAGTTTTAGTGAGAACCGACCGATTAGAATGGGAGACTAGGCTCCTGCATGTAGAATTTGTTAATCTCAAGAGCAGATTAGATTGATATTTGAGTAGCGATTAGATAGGCAGGGTCATGCCTTCAAAGTATTCGAGCATGTCGTCAATGTCGTTGCAGTCGAAATTCTCCGAGCCGCTACTGCACATGGTATTGGATCGGCTGACGGCTGAGTTTTTTTCAGGAGGAGCGATAGCTGGCACTGTCTGCTTTGTCATAGCAATAGCACGAGATGGCACTAAAGACTTGGACTTGACGAGTGGCTTGTCTAATGTAGTCACCTTCAGCGCTGTGTCCGAGAGAAAATTAGATTCTGGGGTGGTAGGAAGGACATTGTTGGCGCTGTGGTGTCGTAGGACCGAAGAAGGTTCAGACGATGGAGTTGGTGGACTCATGATTGATGAAACAGGAGACTGGACATGCGTTGCTGGTAGCGACGTTGACGACCGACTCGCTGGTTCGGCTCCAGGAGACAACGAGTCAAGTGAGTGCTGAACCCCGGCCAAGGTAACACAATCCGTCTCAAAAGCATTATGTTCTCTGCTCGCAAAGCTTTTCAAGCTCGTCGAGGATGCCACTGAAGACACTGATGACGGTCGCGAATGCGGCTTTTGTCGGTCTAGTGAGGGTGGAGAAGGCTGCAGCTGCGGAGGCATGTCCATCTCATCGTAACAATTCAAATATGACTCAAACACCGCTGGAGATGAACTTCGCTCATACATGTCGTTGGAAGCTGCACGTCTTTGTTTTCGTAATGCACGTTTAGCAGCAACACGCTTCTTCTGCACCTGTAAAGTAGCTTCCTCAATTTGTCGTTGACGCTGGTGCTTGATTCGGTCTGTAGGCTGCAAGAAGGACTTGTGTTCCAAAAAAGTTCCTGGGCTTTCCTCGTTCTCGCCGGAACTGGAAGAGTTTGTTGATCCGCATCGCGCGGAGACTTTTCGACTCGGTGGTCCGAATGTATCAGGTTGGCTTACGCTTCGTCCGCGTCGATCCTGCAAAGCATCGGGGGTGATTAACTCACGCCGCCAGTGACCGGCGTGGTGATGGTGGTGATGCGATTGACTTTGTGTCAATTGCTGGCGTTTCTTCTGTTCTTCCTGCCATCGCTTGTGACGACTGCTCTCGGTCGGACCAAAGTACCGGCTGCGCGTCAGCCAGTGGCTCACTTGTCGGTCACGATACTTAGCAAGCGCCTTACTCTTTTCAGCAACTGCACCACGAATGTCATAAATCGCTTTAGATATCGTGCGCAGCTTCACATCGCCACCTACACCCGTTGCCACGGGGCTCGAAGCAACTTTTTCAGTCGGATCACCTATCCATATGTCTGCTTGCATTCGACGACACTGTTGACCTGCAGGCGATGCTGGTAAGCTGTATGATGTACCAGCAGGCATGATCATCGTCACGACGGGTCTGGGGAATCCACCGCAGATGGAAGCTCGTGCAAACGGAATGTCGTTTGCCACCGCACGAGGTCCACCACTCGTCCATTGGGTCAATGTAAGCTGCACACGAAGCATACCTTCGTCACTGGTATGTCCCGAGCGACAACACACCTCTTCATAGGCGGAAAACTCGCCCGAAAACTCGCGTATCTCTGCTAGCGACACTTGCCGCTTACTTGTCAAGTCAGCGTGTGTACCCACTAGTAGCAACCGTCGTCCCGGGACGTCCGACAAGTGAGCCCAATGTGCAACGACCGCTGCGAGCGAATCTCGACGCGTCAGGTCGAAGAGCAGTACAAAGACTCGGTCGTCGTCATGATCCAGGGCTTTTTCTCGACTGTGCAAGATCTGCACGACCGTCTTTTTGTGCCCATTTCCACCAGGTCGCGACCAAAGGAACGTCGAATCCACGCGTCGGTGCAACGTGTTTGTCATACCGACAGTTGGCTTAGCACCTAGTGCAAGCACAAAGCTTTTCTTCCCCACTGCATCAGTCCCAACAACTCCGATGGTACAGGGCATACTTTACAATCTGTGTCAAAAACTCTCTCGGTGTTGCTTGCTCTAGTAGTTCAAATCTATGCGATACTTGCAACTTCTTTCTACTGGGTACAACCGACACAGTCAGACCGAAGAAAAGATCGACAGACGAAGCAAGGACGTCACGCTGCGACGAAGCGATATATAATTTAGTGCAAGATAAAACGTCTGTAATAAGGACTTTGACTGGTAAGAGGAACCGAATTCAAGTGTTTGTGTTGCGATTGTTCATGGAGTACGAAAGTAGCTACAAAAAGGAACTTGACTAGACTGTATGATGGGGGTTGTTGCGCTATTTGCAATCAATGATCGGAAGAGTAGGAATTGTAATTGGAGTTGGATGACATATTATCGGGTGAAACATCCTTGAACCTACTGACGCCACACGCGATTGGCGACGAGCGATGCAACGATAAAAAGTAGCCGATCCTGTTTGACATTCCGCCCGGCTTCATACCCCCTGTTATTTTACAAATTCTAGGCTCAAAGGGGGTTCAAAGAACCGTATCCGGTCCGAATAAAGATGTGAGTTTACTTCCTTAGCAAACAATATATAAGATATCCGTGTTTTGCCACCTACGTCGTATCTATTCTAGATTCTAAAAAGAACCACTTCTAATCTCTAGATTCTTAAAATTATAATGTGACATGTCAAGATGTCAAATGAATAATCCCAAAATTATTTATACCCAATCAAACGTCGCTACTACCAACAGTGGAAGCATGGGTGCTGGGCCGTCTCTAGGCAAGTTCCTCAAGAGTATGGACGATGCTGACCTTATTGAGCTTGTGGAGAATGTACGACGTCGATCATCTTGTTGATATTTGAACACTTTGAATGACCTATTTACTGTATTATATTAGGCTTATAAACTGGAGCCCCAACGTATGGACAAGATATTTGCATTAGTGAAAGAGCGCTATTGTGAAGGTTATTGCCATACTATTGTGTCTTATCTCTATATAAGAGCCATCACTTCTTATTGTGTCTGTACTTTAGGACCGCAACAGTCTCGAGGAATTGATGACGTGGAATCAGACACTTCATTAAGTCTTTCAAGTGTTTTATTGCCACCTACAGCATCAGATATGTCTTCATCACCACCAGCTACTCCAATATTGAATGAGATGTTGCAATCAACTTCAGAGCCAGTGACGTCCATTTCGATCACGACAAATTCATGTTCGAATTCCAGTGACGCAGTGACAACGACACGGAGCATTAATAGAACGCCCGATGCAAGTGATGATACCTCGATACTAACAGGAATCAAAGACCCGATGAATGCACTTTGGACTTTTAAAGGCCATCCACTTCGCGAGCTGCAGGCGGCTGGCAAGAATCCGCAGAATACCGGTAATCGGGCGCTGTTACATCAAGGAATACTGCATGCGGATCATTTAGGAAAGAATGGTGGTGACATTGTAGATCCATCGACTGGAGCAATTTTAACACCACAGGGTGAGGTGGATACTGATGGATATCCAGTGATATATGGCAGCTGTGGTCGTGATAAACGATATGGACGCTGTTCGGTATGCTACTTTCGTGGTCTTCGCTGCAACACAGCTCACTATTGCGCCTGCTGCCAACGATCTGTGTGCATTCGACCGCGCAAATACCCGGGTGAAGAGCACCATAAAATATGCTGGAACGTGCTACATATGGACAAGGATATGATTCAGCGCGTGGAAAAGAAGAAGAAACGTAAGCTGCAAGCTCTGACCGCTGCAGCTACCGCAACAGCGTCAGGAGCTGTTTCACGTCTGATGAATGTCGAAACCTGCAATAATGAGGATGCTGACAGTGGCGATAGTTATAGACAAAACGATAGCCGCAGTCAGTCTGTTGTGGATTTGCATCGAGCACCGTCAATTCCAACGGTAGTCGCGGACGTGAGCGGGGCAGTGGACTTGTAATGTCGTTCCTCTCTTAGTGACGAGTTCTAATTCATGTAAAGTGTGTCATTTGCTAGGAGCGTTGGTTCAAAAGACAAAATCGTGAGCATTCATGTTTGTTTACCAGGACTAAGAAAGCAGCAACATAATGTTGGGCAACTACATGTCAGAACTTCAGCAAAGACCAAGGAGGTGTATTGCATTGGGTAGAAAGAGAAGACGTGAAACGACACACGCCCTCCACAAGGGCGTATGTCAATGAAGAATTGAGAGGCTTCCAAGGGGTGAAGGAAAATGGCGGTCAATATCGCGGAGGAGGACGGAAAGTGTTATCACGCCCTCGCTGCGGTGGTGGACCTCGGTCTCGAAACGATCGGTCTCGATCTCCCCCAGCAGGTGGACCTCTTTCTCGATTACGATTGCGATCGCGACTTCGGTCTCTTGGGCGTGATTGCATCGGTGGGTTCCAGCCGCCTGAATCAGCGCCAGGGCCTGGCATAAGACCAGGAGCAAGGTCGCCGTTCCCAGCAGAAAACTGGTAGGCTTTGGAAAAGGATATGCGCATGTGCGAGTCCGGGTATGCCATGTTGTCGATCCGAAGAAGCGCCATGATTGCCTCATCCATGGAGCCCATTTCAATCAGCGCCATTTTGGGGTTGTTCTGCAAGTAGTGGAAATTCTTGACAAAGCCGTACTGCGTGAAAAGACCCACAAGGGCGTCCTGGTTGCGTTGCAGCTCCATCGGAATGCCTGAAATGTGCAAAAGCGGGCAAGGAGAAACAGCCTCTTGTGGACTGCGTCGTCGGTAGCGATGAAGTGGTGAACCCGAAAAGTCGAGCGTATTCTCAATCTCAAAACGGTCCGCATCTGCATGGGGCATTGACACGCTCGTGTGCTTCGAGTAATCCACACGCAGCTTTTTGCCAAAAACGTAGACACCATCCATATGATCCAAAGCCGAAGTTGACTTGTATTAGACATGCCGCAGTGCAGTCACCCCGACACCAAAGACAGTTCACATGTGAGTAAGAAGGACAAGACAGGGTAGAGACCAACAGTAAGCAGCACGGTTTGGCTCAAACTTGGCACCAATCAAAAATGGACTTACATGAACATCATCAACAAACTGGATCAGCGCCGTATCCCGCTTGCGAAACATGATCTTAATCCGAAGTACGTCACCAAAGCAGCCAAATAGCGTAAAGAGGCGGTGCGGGATCTGTCATGTACACAAATCCATAGTTTAGAGGTGTCCGATGATGAACAGACAGGATCGATACTCGAAGTTTTTACACTTACCACCAAGCTGGGATCAATATTGCTACAAATCAAGGCAGGAGAAGGACGAGTATCACCTCGAATGGCTCGCCCCGTCGAATGCGCAGGCAACTCGCGCCCACCGCGACCATCACGAGGTCTGTCCATATGCAATGGCCGTTCATCGAACCGCGGCGGCGGTTCGCGATTATCACGCAAGACCGGAGCGTATTGATCAGCTCGTCCAATGTTTGGAGCACGAGTAGGCTCGCGATAAGGGAGATCATCGCGGCGTGGGGATGGATGGTTGTATCCAGCATCTCGAGGGGCATCGCGTCGGTCTGAAGGAGTAGCGATCGGCAAGCCGTTTTCACTACGAGCACCTGCACCACGACCAGGACCTGGAGGAAGATTAGGATTTTTATAATCGCGCGATCGGTCGTCATTATAGCGCACACGAAGTTCTGGGTGACGTGAAAAGACAATGCTGAGCTGGTTGCAGCCTGTGTAAATGTCACGCCCATCCAGCGCTGATTGTGCGGCTTGTGCTTGATCCACTGATTCCATTTGTATGAGCGCCTTGAACTCGTTGTCTTTCCAAAACGTGACGATCTTCTCGACGTTGCCAAACTTTTGGAAAACCTGCAGTGCAGACCAAATTCAGCTGAGTATCACTTGATTCTAAGAGACGCATGGTTGTTTGTATCATACCTGCTGCAGAACATCCACCGTCACATCGTATTCGATCTTGGACACCGACGCCATAAGGATTTGGTTCGGTGGTCCAATACCACGACGAGGACCATCGTGGCCTATCGTGCCTCGGTGACCTACATGTAAAAACCACTCAGTCAGGACACACAAAACACACAACAAGTTCCATCAGCGTACCTCCACCGTCTGCACCGAATGGAGGAGGGTCTCGCAGCGGCGTATACTGCATCGACTGAGATTGTTGGTATGGGGCACCTCTTGGTGGTACCTGTTGTTGTTGCTGCTGCTGGTACGAAGGAGCCTCGTTCTCCTGACGCATGATAATTTCATCACGATTGCTAATCTCAAAAAAGACTTTCTTGTCACGAATAAGTGCCTCGCGTGTCTGGTAAAAGGTGACGAGGTTAGCGGCTGATGTGACGTCGGGTAATTGTACAAATGCTTGGCGTTTCTGCGGGATCATGAGACACTTTTCCACAACAGCAAACGGGCAACAAAGCGCTAGTAGTTCGCTCTCCAGACAGTCAGCAGGTAGCCCGCAGACAAACACAACCTATTTAATGACAAGGGCAGGTCACAACAGGACATAAAGAGCAAGGAAACATGTGAGCGAGCAGGCCGTAGAAAGCAGAAGAAATACGAGCCCCAAGGCACAAACACCAAGATAGGACAAGGAAGAGGCAAGGTATTACCCGCGATGCCGACTGCGAGGAGTTGCCTCGCTGGCGCTTGGATGGATCAAAGTCGTCTCCATTGTCCAATTGACGCTTCATCCCCGAGCCATCCGATGTCATCATTATAGAGGAATAGAAGAAAAGCCAAGACAGAGCCACAAGTCGAGGAGAGGGGGGAGGGGCAAGAGTAAAGGCTGCAGACAAAGTGAAGAGCGAGTGGCAGACAGAGCGAGCAACTGATTGGTGATTGTTTTGCAACCGATATACACGCACTTTATTGAACTGGACATTGGCAAGACAAGAAACACACACACACTCGTTAGTTGTGCTAGTTTAAGTAAGAAAGGAGTTATTGTCCATCCATTCATTGCCCATTCAATGCACAATTAGAACGTACTTGACACTCTTTTGTCTCCCTTGATATTTTATTTGTTTGGATGCGATGGCCATCCACCCAAAATACTATTGAGGGTACTGTTTTGGGCTCAGAAAGTCCGGGTTGTTAAATCGATGATAAAAACTAGCTAGATTAGGTGACGATGGTAATATCTATGGTAAAAGTCGAGTTATTTCTGAGGTTTTATCTTTGGTGGCAGATTTTGATTGGTGCATGAGACTGGTCTATTTCTAAACAAAGTCGTTTGCGAGATCTCCCCTCCCTCATTTACGAATTCCACCCGAGAAGAGAAACCAAAAAAAAGACAGTAACTACTTTGAAAGCAGTAATCATGGGAATGGCTTTCTCGCGTGTGTTTGAGCGTCTCTTTGGCAAGAAAGAGATGCGTATTCTTATGGTCGGTCTTGATGCTGCTGGTAAAACCACGATCCTTTACAAGCTCAAATTGGGTGAAGTGGTTACAACGATCCCTACGATCGGTACGTCCCAACTCCATTGTCCCAATTTATTTGTCCCAACTCCATTGTCCCAATTTATTTGTCCCAACTTATTTGTCACTATCATTTGAAGCCATGTCCTTACATCTACATATGTATCTTTGTATCAGGTTTTAATGTTGAGACAGTCGAGTACAAGAACATTAGCTTCACGGTGTGGGATGTCGGTGGTCAGGACAAGATCCGTCCGCTTTGGCGTCACTACTATCAGAACACACAGGGTCTGATCTTTGTAGTGGACTCGAATGATCGTGATCGTGTGGATGCAGCTCGTGATGAGCTACATCGTATGCTAAACGAAGACGAGCTTCGTGACTCGGTGTTGCTGGTGTTTGCAAACAAACAGGATCTACCAAATGCAATGAGCGCTGCAGAGATGACGGACAAGCTGGGTCTGCACGGTCTGCGTCACCGTCAATGGTTCATTCAAGCGTGTTGCGCGACGACGGGCGACGGTTTGTACGAAGGCTTGGACTGGCTATCGGCTACACTCCAGAAGGCAAAGTAAAACAACACGTGGTTGACATACCTGGTAGTGGCAGATAGAGACGTCTATATATCATGGGTAGTTGGCGCTGCTTTTAATTTTGCATTTTTCTTCTTCACGTGTTTGAATTTACATGTAGTCGCTCTACTAACCAGGCCAGAAGAAGTACATTCACACACAATACGTGCTTCCTTGTACCATTTATTTGCATGAATTGTTTTATGATGATGCATGTTCAATTCTGTGACATTGCGGTACAAAGGATCTTATTGTTAAGTCTGTCAGATGGCGTATCAATGCTGTTGCTATCTTTTACATACGCTTGTTCAGCTATCGAGTTGTTTGAGATGGCAACTACTTTTTCAAGTGATTGCTGCTTGAAGTGCAAGAGATTACGCTGAGGCAAGCTTACCACAATCCACCGAGAGAAGGCATACGTTTCGCTGTTGAGAGTTCGCTACGTTATGTTGCTGCAGACAGCTTTCCTATTGAGGTGACGAATACCGCCGAGCCAAGTCAGCGTGACATTTTCCACGCGGCGGCAGTATCGATTCGGGCCGGGTTTGAAAGATGAATGGGTCATTGTGCTATGGGTTTTCGGGTTATCTTGGAATTAAGATACCTCAGAAAATTGATACCTATGATTTAGGGATGTTGATTAGGCCGCTTCGTCAACGATATCACGAAGATGAATGCTTTCTTATACCCTACGGCACGATATGTAGTGAATGGTGTGCTTACTGTATGATACATCATGGAATTGCATGTGGATAACGTTTCTTAGCTAACGTTAAACGGATAGCAAAAATTACTAATCGTAGGCTACAACCATTATTTTTGACCTGCCATCTGCAATACTATCAGCTCTTCACTCTACAATCTAATATTAAAGGTACTAACATGGTTACTGAATGGGTGGGCCTGAAAAAAGGGGCGTTCTTTTACTAAAGAGCCTCCCCAAATTCACTTTGAGAATTCCTAGCGCTGTATAAAGGCGATAGGCGATCAGCAACAGGAAACAGAGACAGTATCAAAACAAATCAGTAATCATGGGAATGGCTTTCTCGCGTGTGTTTGAGCGTCTCTTTGGCAAGAAAGAGATGCGTATTCTTATGGTCGGTCTTGATGCTGCTGGTAAAACCACGATCCTTTACAAGCTCAAATTGGGTGAAGTGGTTACAACGATCCCTACGATCGGTACGTCCCAACTCCATTGTCCCAATTCATTTGTCCCAACTCCATTGTCCCAATTTATTTGTCCCAACTCCATTGTCCCAATTTATTTGTATCAACTCATTTGTCACTATCATTTAAAGCCATGTCCTTACATCTACATATGTATCTTTGTATCAGGTTTTAATGTTGAGACAGTCGAGTACAAGAACATTAGCTTCACGGTGTGGGATGTCGGTGGTCAGGACAAGATCCGTCCGCTTTGGCGTCACTACTATCAGAACACACAGGGTCTGATCTTTGTAGTGGACTCGAATGATCGTGATCGTGTGGATGCAGCTCGTGATGAGCTACATCGTATGCTAAACGAAGACGAGCTTCGTGACTCGGTGTTGCTGGTGTTTGCAAACAAACAGGATCTGCCAAATGCAATGAGCGCTGCAGAGATGACGGACAAACTGGGTCTGCACGGTCTGCGTCACCGTCAATGGTTCATTCAGGCGTGTTGCGCGACGACAGGCGACGGTTTGTACGAAGGTCTGGACTGGCTATCGGCAACTCTTCAGAAAAAGCAGTAGGGTGTGCAGCCTTACGACGCTCTGAGGTGTTGTTGTCATGCCGCTTGGAGTCAAGATACTAAAGGTATGGAATGATAAGTGAGAAGGATAGGCTTGAGCGGTGTAATAGTGCATCTATTGGCTTGCAAATGACTTTCCCATGCGTCGCTTCGGGTCAATTATATCGACATTTGCTTCTGAAGTGTCACGAAGACAAACAATCATGTCAAAGAGCACATGCGATGGATAACACGTGCTTTACACATTACTTTTAGTTTCCTACTGTCCTAGATATCGGGTAGTGACGCGTGGTGTGTAGCTAGATAGATCACCGACTCACTCTCCAAGCATAAGGTTTACACGTTTCATGATGTAATCCTTGGTAGGATCATAAGGCGAGTCCTTGCTTGGAATCTCCAGCACCGTTGGAATTGTCTTGTCGTACGTATTTAAAAGATGACGGATCTCTTCCGCTACCTGCTCAAAGTCAAAGCAAGTCAGTACCACAGTCTGATCCAGAGATTAAAAAAAACATAATGACATACATGCTGATTAATAAGGAGAATAGCAATGTCATCACGGTTCGTAAGGGATCGAAAGCTCGATTCAATCACAGAGATCGGTGTGTCTTCACGTATCACTTTATGTGAGTCAAAAGTGTTCAAAGATCGGAATCTTTGCAAAAAAGTGCAAACGTACTTGGCTTAACGACGAGAAAATTAGTTCCCTCGGCTGTTCGATGACCAATTCCTGCAAGAATAAAGCCCGTGACGGTATCTTCGTCTCCAATCACGCCAATTAGTTTCGTGCTGTCACTCATTTAGTCTATCCCTAGAAGAGAGGAAGGAAGCAGGTATTTAATTTGCTTTTATGATTCAAGCAGGAGCTTTTTAGCATTGTAAAAACGTCGAAACGTTTTTTAGTCCAGTCTAAATTTGAAATCACGACAAAATAGTCCCAGTCCTTTCGTGTCGAAATGTTTGGATCAACTTCCTCGGCGTCGTCACAACGTCATCTGCAGGGCCTCGTGACACGCCGTGCGATTACTGCCGAGCCAAAGAATGCAGCACAATACTTTGGATACGTAGCTGCCGGTGTTCAGTATAATGAAGAGCTTACAAAGTTGCGGTAAAAGATACTTGTCTCCTTGTTCACAGCTCGTTTAGTATGCTATAACATGGCTACATTTCTACAATTTGTAGGACATATAATTTGAAACGAAGAGCTACGATTGCGTATAAAGGCTATGAAGCTGTACTAATTCGCAAGAAACGTGTGACAACGGGTCATAGCATGAAGCCATCGGTTAATAACATGATGTACGTCTCAAGACCGGGAGCAATCCCGACACCAACCACGGCCACATTCAATCCAGCAGCAGTACTGCAATTACAGGCGATGCTTCCTAGAGCACAGCCGGCTATAGTCAAGCCAGTACAAAAGATTGCAGCAGCAGCAGCCGCATCGTCTGTGATCCCATCGACGACATTGACAACGTCTACGGTCACGTCTTCAGTCACGACTGGAAAGATGACGGCGGCACAAATGCAACGACATCAACAGCAAATGAAGAGTGCACAGTTACAGCAACAGCCGAAAAGATCGGACTTTGTCGTAGGCACGACAGTACTTATCCGGGTATAATTGGGTGACTTTTGGTCTCAAACCTGTCGCTGGATCCGATGCTAATTTATTTCTTGCTGTTACTACTTATCATGGGCAGAATACTGCTGATTTGATTGCGTGTGGAGCGCGAAATCTGGCAGGTAAGAATGGACGTATAGTTGCTGCCCCCCAGATCTACGGACAGGAACTTTTTTCGGTCTACATTGACGAGCACGAGGCGCTCTTTCAGGTCCCATTCAACGCGTTAACACTTGTTGCCCGCCCGACGCCAACCCAACAGCATCAGACGCAACAAATGCAGGCGCACCTTAATGTTGCGGCGGGGCAGATTGCTTCGAACCAGATGCAACGTCTGAACGGTCAAGTCTCAAGGGGGTCGAAATCAGCAGAGCAGATTAAGATGGAGCACTCTTTCCAGCTTCACCGCCTCATGCAGCAGCAATATCGTGAAATTCAGGTCTTGCAACAGCGCTATGCAGAGTGTCGACTTGCAGATCCTACAGCGCTGTCAGGTATTCAGAAGGAGCTGTCGAAATTACGACTCGTGCATCTATCTCAGGTGCAAACCCTCAAAAGCAAGCAGGCATTAGATATGATTGGCAAGTAGGTGGTGGTGATGGCAAAGAGAGTCAATTCGAATGACGTATGTGCCTTTTTGTTATTGTTTTTCACGAAACCTCGTGTCTACATGCATATACCATGGCAGCGTGACAGACACGCCCAATTATCCCAAAGTTCATGCGCCTGCGCTCGGGACTTCTAACCTTTGTCTTTGCCAGAGCATATTGTTATTGCTGGTAGTAGCTCGGGTATTGCGCTTGCGGATACGTCTGTTGGCCAGCAGTAGCCGTAGGGTCGGCTTGAGAGTACACAGGGACCTGAGCTCCATATCCCTTTAATACATCACCACAAACAAGCAAACGTATTAGTACGAAATGATCGGCACAACGTCCCCCTAAAAAATGCATGTCGGGCACGGTATCGGATAACATCAGAAAAGAACGAATGCAAAGAAAACGAAGTCCTCATCTCATTGCAACGCGTGTGCACCGATCACCAGCAGATTTCCGAGTCGCTGAAGGACATCGGTCAGTCACTTTTTCGTCAAGCAGGCTGAGAAGCCCACGCGAGCTCCATGGGAGCTCTGTCCAGTCCGTACCCACAATCAAATAAACACAAGCATAATGGGGGAACAAAACAAGGATTTACCTGATAGCCTTGGTAGTAGGCTGCAGCCGGCGTTGTCGCTGTTGCCGCTGTGGGTGTTATTGCTGCTACTACGGGGGCCGAAAGAACCGCAGAAGTGAGCGGGACTGTGATACGGGGACGCTTCATCCCTAGTTCCACATTGGAGTTATATTCGTTCACATCGCCTTCACGGCAAGGCTGGAAATTCAGCACCTTGATCGTGCGATTACGGGACTGAGCATGCTTTAGCTTCCAGACCAATTCCCTACGGCGTAAATCGCGCACCTGAGTGATATTATCGCCATAATTCTCAATGAATTCCACATACTGGAACCACAAATCATTTTTCTCGTCCATCGAAAGACTACAACTGTCTTCGAGCGCAAGCTCGTAAACACGGGTGACCCGTGGCACGAATTCTGGACTTTTGCCATCCGCATTGACCTCGAAGTGAATGAAATTCAGCCAAAGCAATACCGACTCGTCATGTTTTTGTACCGCGCGCTCAAATACTGCACGGGCCGATGCTACATCGCCAACGTGCTTGTGAAGGAACGTAGCGTACGAGGTAGCAACAAACGCATATGCTTCGACTTCGGTCTCGACTGCCTCCATTCCACGCTCAAACCACGTCTTCGCCGTTTCAATATCTCCTCGTCGCCGTTCAAAATTACAGTACCACAAGAATGCTTCTGCGAGCTTTGGGGCCACATCAGACAATACGTGCATGTACACATCTTGAGCCTGTTGCAGTTTGTCATGGGCTTCCAAAAAAGCAGCGTATTCCAAGTAGATGGACGGGCGGTACTTGATAAAGATCGTCATCGCACGCTGGAACACAGCATCAGCTACCTGAAAGCCATGCACTTTTTCGCTCCACTCAACGTAACGCAGCCACATTTCTTCGTAATTTGCGCAAGAAATAAGGCAGCGCTCGTACAGCGTCTGACAACGGGCTGCATTCCCTGCTGCTTCTTCAAAGTCTAGGTAACTATGCCAGTTCTTCATTGCAGCCTCAGCCACTGGCGTCACGTGAAAATAGTTTCGATCGATTGCAGCTTCAAAAGCCTGTCGACGGTAAATCTCCTCCATCGTCTTGTTCTTTACAACCTCCACAGCATTTACGATCTTGACACGCAACAATCCTTCATCCATGAGCTCTTCCCCACTGCCAGCAAGTGCCTTTTGCTCTTCAGACGTTGCCAGGGTATTTAATTGCTGGGCTAGCACAAATTGGTTGTATTTCTCCCAGAATTCATCAAGATTTCGCAACGGCTGGTACATGATTGATTTAAAAACTTGGTTCAGACGAGGCATATTATTCTGTAGCGATACACACATATAACAACAGTTCATACATACTACATCATAAATAAAGACAAAAGGACAGCCACAAAGCAACGTACGTTCACAGTCTCTAATTGAATGTAGAGCTCCCATAATGGACCAGCCATAGGATCACCTCCACACGCCTTCACTGCTCTTTCCAAGATGCTATTACAAAAAAGACGCAAATGAATGAAATAACTCAAAAAGACAACTACACCCACCGTGAAAAATGAACGTACGGTCGTGTTTCATCCACGGGGCTATGCACCGTATGGATGAGAAACTCACTGTACTTCATCCACATGTCAACGCTGTATCTGACAGCTACAACACCTCGTTCGTACACTTCACGAGCCTTTTGCTTTGCTTCGTCAGATGTCGCTACAGTACCGACCCCATCAGCCGTAACCTTCTTGCCAAGTCCATATTCATACAAAGCATACTAACAACACCATAAAATTATAACGTATAAAGAGTCACACATGATAATAATAATAACAACTCCGTCTTTTTCCAATCGTACCTTGTTCCAATAGCCAAAACAGAGCGGAAACTCGGCTAAAAACCGATCATATGTGGATTCCACCGTCTCACGCGGGGTGTCCGTCTACAAAAGAGCATTTACTAGTTAGTGTGGTGCACATGAATATTATGTTTTACAAGTACACACACTCTGAGCATCGTACTTCACTCTGTACGAGCGTCAGAAGGCTGACCCACGAGTTAAAGTCCAGTGGATTCGTATTTACTGCTTCTGTAAGCCGCTCTAACGGCGTCTTGACTGTCAAGACAATGGGTTCAGATCCATTAACAGTAGAAATAGCAGTAGTAGTAGCATTGGCGTTGGTGTCAAGAGACATAGAGAGCGGAGCGGGGGTCGCCATGAGCGATGGGTGGGTCACGAGCTTTATTGGTGCAATTATTCGAACTGATGACACCCGTCCGTGAAAACCCAATGAAAAGAGATGACACGGGAGATTGAAAGATGGGGTGTCGCTTTAAGGTTGTGTACATGACACGGTATGCAGTAAACATTCAAGTACATTCATCTACTTAGTTATAAAGTAGTTTGTACCGATTTTGTGTTTGCTCTGGTAATGACACTTCAGGTGGCAAAAAGAATGCACCCATTCTGCTGATACTGGTATTACAAGGATATCTATCACAGGACATTTCAACAACTTTATTTGCAAAATTGTATGCAATTTGATTGATAATTTGGTGATTCGGATCATTTCTTAAGCTGTCAAAATGGATGACAATACCGTCACTAAGACACTTTATTGCATCCGCCATGGTGAGTCGACGTATAATGAATGGCGTACGAATAGCCTTTTAAACTTTTCGTGGATGTGGATACGTGACCCAATGATCGTCGACGCACCGCTCAGCGTTAAGGGAAAGAAGCAGGTGGAGCAATTCTCTGTGTTAATGTTGACTGTACAATTATTTACCATTATTGTGTTTGTATTACTAGGCGACACAACTTCATGAGTTTATCAAAAGCAGACAATTGGACGAGAAGATTCAAGCGGTACCGTAGCAATTTACAATAAAGTGATGCAATAGTTGCACTCCTCATGTTGTTCGGTTGGAATTATTTTCCAGATCATTACAAGTCCATTGACGAGAGCGATTGAAACAACGATCGGGGCATTCCCAGATACAACAATCCCCATTTTAGGTACACATATTCTCCAAGGTTGCTAAATTTGCAGTGATCCTAACGCACTTTTGACATTTGCAGTGGAACCTTTGTGTCGAGAGATGCTCGACACTGCTTGTGATATTGGACAAGGACCGACAGATCTGGCACAGCAGTTCTTTTCTGAGGACCATATTGACTTTTCCTTTTTAGACCCCTTTTGGTGGCTGGAGGCAGAAAAGTTTCCGCGGACGGGACCGGATAATGCATTACCAATTGACATCGTGGCCCCCAAGACGGCAGATGAAGTGTTGGTACTGCGTGAAAGTAAGGATGAGTTGGACGCACGGATTCGAGAGTTCGTTGCCAAGTTGGCTGAGAGACCGGAGCAACATATTGCTGTTGTTGGCCACTCTTCATTCTTTAAGCGCATGCTCGGGATGAACCACAAACTCAACAATTGTGAGCTGCATGAAACGTCGCTGGACGACATTTGGATTCGCTATGGACAGTAATGGCACGACAAGGTAAGAAGCAGTGGCATGCATCATTGCAATCAAGCTTATTGCTATTTTGTCGTAGGAGACGGCCTTATCTTTGCTGATACTATCAACAGCATAAGGGATGCATGAATGAGCACTTCCAAGAGATTAGAGTAGGCATATCTAACTAGTTACTTCACAAACCGACACAAATACCGGTATTTGTAGCCAATCAGACTATTTATCATTACGACATCTTCATTGATCTAAGACAATGTAAGTGACGCATCTGTCAATTGATGGGGGCTGCCTTTGACGTCGCTCTATGTTGTCTCTAGGTCTGCTCGTCAAGTGAAACGTTTGGCTAAGGAGTGTAAAGCTGAGACACATGTCACTAGCGACGAGGAAGTCGACGAGAACGAGCAGCTGGAGAAGAAGCGGACTGCTAATGTGGGCTTTGCATTTCTAGTCGACTCTGATTCAGATAAGAGTGACGGCAATAGCGACAGCGAGATCGATCAAGATGAAGCGGAGGATCAAGTAGAAAAAGATGTGGAGAAACCGGTAGTGGTGGCTCCCGAGCCCATCAAGGGGAAGAAGAAGTGAGAGAAATGCTGTCAATCCTTTTGGTGCTACGACACCAATTGTGCTTACTTTTTTGTGGAAATGGGACTGAATTCTTGCAGAAAATCTAAGAAAAAAGGCAAGAAAAAAGGTCGAGCAGAGAGTGAAGAGGACGAGATGAAGGAGTCGGTGGACGACATTTTGGACACGTTGGCGACAAAGGGTAGCAATTTGAGTGTTGATAACGTCATGTCCGTTCGCAATGAGCAGAAGCAGTCGCTTCTTGGCGTGCAACTTAAATTTGCGAACGCAGACAAAGAGATGAAGAGAATTTTTGGGGTGGGTCGGAGACGTGGGTGGGTTGTTGTTGAGACAGATTCTTATCGTTCTGTGTGTCTTACTCATATTTGCAGGTGAGGGAAAGCAGTCATGGCAGCAACAGAAAACGTGGTGACCTTCGGTAAGTTTAGGCAATGAATTGGCCTGAAGTGAATAAAATCTGACACAATTGTTGTACTGGTTGGTGCACGGTTTGCAGTGCTAGAGTGACAACGAAGAAGGTGATGTTAGTATCACCCTTGGAAGAATGGCCTCGTCCACCTACGTTTGTTGGTGGTGGCATCCGCTGGACACGATCCAACAAGCCCAAGGGTGCTGGCTGGAACAGCTTATGTAATTACTTTGAGATCACGTGGTCAATGGCGTACAAGAAGGTTGTAGTAAACGATAGCTGCCTGAGTGGTATGTTTTCGACACTGACTGCTATGCAACCTGCTGTCTGTATTGCCAAATAGTCGCAAGAAGAATTTGAACTTCTTCAGCGAACGCACGACCCGAACCTCATTGCTCAATTCTTGCAGCGCTACCCATACCATATTGATGCGTTGCTCACGATGAGCGAATTCTTCCAGCACCATGGTCAAATGGACCATGCAATTGACTGCATTAAGAGATGCATGTACGTGTTGGAGCTTGCTTGGGCTGACCAGTTTGATGTCTCGAAGGGAAATTGTCGCATGGACATTCAAACGGAGCACAATTCGGGCTTCTACAGAGCCTTGTTTCTGCTGATGAAGCAAGTTGGACGACGAGGATGCATGCGGAGTGCCTTCGAGACATCTAAACTACTGCTTAGTCTGGACCCTCAAGGAGACCCTATGAACGTGCTTTTGGCGATCGACTACTACGCACTGACGTCGCGTCAATGCCAATTCCTCGTCGACTTGTTTAGTTCAAAGACTCCTGTAGTAGATCGAGTTGCAACCAATGACACGGATTCAAAGAAGAAGGGTGGCAAGAAAGCTTCTCGAGATGCGTCTGATGACATTACAGTGTTGCCAAATCTCCAATTCTCGCTTGCTCTCGCCCAGTAAGCAATGCAAAGGGATGGATGGCTCACGGCTTGCAAAGACTAACGCTAGAGTGTGTATGGTGTACCAACAGTTTCTTCTTAGGCAACGAAACGGAGGCCAAGGATCAGCTGGCCGCAGCGTTGCTCAAGTTCCCAACAATACTGAAGCCGCTTTTAGAGAAAATCGCTGCCCATTCGTCCTCAGGTAGTTGGCATTGTGCGCTGTCTGTGCGCACATTTGATTGATACAATTTTCACACTCGCCCCGTGTGACAGCTTCGTGGCAGCCGATTTTAGCAAGTCGCGTGTTTGCCAATGCTCGAAGTGTTGATGGAGAGCTCAGCGTACTCCAGCACTTGCTGGACATCTACGTGACGAGAAACCACTCTCTTTGGAAGGTGAATGACGTGCAGGCGTTCCTCCTTCGCAGCGCGCAGCATGCTCTTGCCACTCCGACACTAGTGTCTGCAAACCCTCAGGTGTTGGAGCTGCCTACGTGTGTGGACAAGTACCTTTGTGCTGTCACTGCAGGTGAGTAGACGGATAACAAAACGTCAGTTGCGCTTGTAGAGCTGACATGTTGACCACTTTCTTATCGTGTATGCGATTGCTAGACTACTCGGACGATATCACCACGTTGCCTGCAGACCACCCAATGTTACAGCCACCGCAGATGCAAAACGGCCAGCCAGTGGATCCCGAGGCTTTCAATGCGCTTGCACGTGCGCAGGAGGAGTTTGAGGAAGGTCATTTACCGGCCGACACCAACCCGCTGCTACTATTTCTGCAGACGTTGCTGCCTTGGAACCACGTCCAAGGTGCAGGTCGGCAGCAACAGCCACCACCGCAGTAAACTTTTGTGGAAATTGTGAAGCCACGCGCGACAAGTTTCTTGGTGTCAAACAAATGGCTCGACCGTATTGAAAGACCATCCAAATACCTTGCATCATGCTACTAATTCAATACTACAGTACACGACGTATACTGTAGTACTGTATACTTGAGGAGCAAAATAAATTTATCCGGACAGTGCGTTTTCTATCGCGTAAAAAAGCGGATCCATATCAGAAAATCAAAAAATCCAGATATATATTTTTGCAAGTACCTTTTTTCTACCGGTTTTCCCGGGTATCCACCACTAATAATTTCTCTTCACTCCCCCCAATGGGCAACAATACCAGCAGTAGCGCCGGCGCCTCCGCCAATGTGCGTCCACATGGCAAGCGTACCACTGCATCACACCGTCGTGCGCAACAACAGGCACATGTACAGACACAACAGGTTACTACGGAGATCACTGCTGTGCCCGTGCCACAACCTCCTGCACCCCCAGCCGTGCGTTCCAAACCGCAACGTAAACCTTCCAAAGAACTGGTAAGAGTGATGGTCCTTCGATAGAAACCTAAAATTCCCTAGCCCTAATGTATTTGATGTTGCATTTGTGTATACACAAAATAGATTACCGGTGAATTATCCGACGTGAATGAATTTTATGACATTGCCAAGAAGGAATTGGGTCATGGTCACTATGGGACTGTTCGTGTGGGTGTGAGTAAAACCACAGGCGAGAAAGTTGCTATTAAGACCATTCCCAAGGCTAAAGTGAGTCGTCCCGAGACGATGCGACGTGAGATTAACATTCTCAAGACTCTGGACCATCCGAACATTATTAAACTTTATAATGTCTGTGAAAGCAGTCGTCATCTCCATTTGGTCACGGAACTCTGTACAGGAGGAGAATTATTTGATCGCATTATTGCACGTGGTCATTACAGTGAAGCTGATGCTGCTGTGCTCGTGCTAAAGATCTGTGATGCCGTCAAGCACTGTCATGACCGAGACATTTGCCATCGTGATTTGAAACCAGAGAACTTTTTGTTTGCTACAAAGGCAGAGGATGCAGAACTTAAGGTCATTGATTTTGGACTCTCACGCATGGATGATGGTCTTAGTGCTGGTGTCATGACCACACGTGTTGGTACTCCTTACTATATTGCACCCGAGGTACTGGGACGTCATTACGACAAGTCTTGTGATCTATGGAGTATCGGTGTCATTATGTACATCTTGTTATGTGGATACCCACCGTTCTATGGTGACACGGACCCCGAGATCTTTGCATCGGTTCGTGCTGGTCGCTACGATTTTGACTCGCCCGAATGGACAAATGTGAGTGACGAAGCAAAGGATCTCATTAGCCACTTACTGCTGGTGGACGCCTCCAAGCGGTTGACGGCGGAAGAGGTGTTACGTCACCCGTGGATCTCAGGATCGGCGCCGAGATCGAGCATGACGCTGAACCCGAACATCTTCTCGAGCTTGAAACGCTTCACAGGCAACAACAAGCTCAAGAAGGCGGCCCTTGGTGTCATCGCAGACCTAGCCACGGAGGGAGAGATTGCAGAGTTGAAGAATCAGTTCATGGCGATTGATACTGATGGCAACGGAGTGATCACGGTGTCTGAGCTAGCGGAGGCGCTGCGTGACACTGGTCTCGGAATGATTGAGGAAGAGGTGCTGGAACTTGTTAAGGGCATTGACATTGACGGTGATGGGCTTGTTGACTATCCAGAGTTTCTGGCGGCTACCATGAAGCGGAACCTGGCCAACCAGAAGGAGCACCTTATGAACGCATTTAATTATTTTGACACCACGAACACGGGGAACATTACCAAGGCCGACCTCGTGCAGTTCATGGGCAGTGAAGAACAGGCGCAAGAGATCATTAATGATGTGGATGCAAATGGTGACGGTGTCATCAGCTTTGAGGAGTTCGTGGCGATGATGAACCGCAAAGGATACGGTGATGACTCGGAAATGGACAGCCAGGACGATAGTAGCTTTCTTTTAGCGACGACACAGTACATCAGTGGCAACGTCCCGTCTCCCATCAAGGAGACTGAGCTATAAGCAAGCGCGAGCGAGCAGGTACACAGATTCATCCACAAGTACTGCAGCAACACGGGGAAGAGATAAAGGTCGCCTGAAGTGCTCGCAACAGCAGAAAAATCGCATCTTGGGTATTGTTTTGAATTTCTGCAGCACTTCCTTGCTATTGTTTTTGTAAGTCGACATTTATAGATTGAAAACAAGTTACTTACTGGTCTTGTTGCGCCTGTTGATTCGGTCATGTCGCTTCTCAGCAGCTAATTTTTGTGTGCGGACGAGTGCTTCGCGTTCAGCACGCCGAGCTTCTTGCGCCGAGGTCATTGCAGAAGAACCACTAGCTGAGCGCTGTATGTTAAGCTCTTCTTCACGCGCCTCCGTTCGCTCGTCCATGTACTGTGCAAGCTTGTGTTGATAATGGCGACGCGAGTTGGTTGAAAATTTGCCGAAGACCAGACGCCCAGGTCCTCGACGTTCGAAACCGGGCTTTCTCTTTTTGCCGTCCTCATCTTCTGATAGCGGCTTGCGACGGGCAAAACTCTTGGTAGGTGGAGAAAAGTTTGGAGCATCTAACAGGAGCTGGTACAGATTCAATGTCGGGACCTCTTCAGCCGATGTGTTTTTCGACTCCAGCACTGTAACTTTCACCGTAGAGTTCGTGACGCAATTAGCCTCGCTCTTGGTTTGAACTACGCGTTGCAGCTCTGACAGCGATGACGCAACGTGTTTTTTCTGCGTAGCATTTGCCCGTCCAACAAGAAGTAACTGGAGCTGCGGCACTCGAGCTCCAGAAGCTGCGAGGTCGCATGACACCTGAACTACCACCTCGTCCAGAGTATGAAATACACAGTGTTTATCACCAGAAGCTACAACTTCAAGGGCGCCGCGTTCGGTGTCATCCCATACAAGACGCGCCTGAGAAATTTTCCGAATGCATTCAACTCCTGCAAATGCCCCAGTAGCCGGTTCTGTGTCCACAATGCGTACGCCAAGCATCAGGGGGTCCATTTGCACGACACCACTCTTATCGCGCAGATACACCGGTGCGCGGAAATCATACCTTGGAACGTACACGATCATTCCGTTCTGCTTGAGAGCCGTAATAATCGCCGGCACTTTCGCTGTGTGACTGCTGAAGTAAAGGGCCAGGAACAGCGCGTCGCAGGCATGCGCTGCAAGTTTGGCCTGTCGGTTTTTCTTGTTAAGGTGACGTGCTAGTGGCACCAACTCTTCCGGCGGAAAAAGGTCATCTCCATCTATGACAGCGTCGTCACTTGCAATTCCAGCTGCTTCAGTTCGAGCTGACGTAACGTTAGTAACTTGGAGTTGGTTGTCGATCGACGAAACGAGATCATCGAGGAAGTCCTCATCTTCTTCATTTTCCAACACGGAGGGCGTGAGGGTATGAGGTAGCACCAACGGGGCTGAGTTATTGGTACCAGGCCGCTGAAATGTTTTGCAACGAAGAGGGTGGGGAGCTTCAATTGACGCTAAAAGCTGACGATGCACGATGATGTCGGCATAACGGCGGATTGGCGACGTAAAATGCGTATAGTATTGCAATCCAAGACCATAGTGTGCAAACCGTGTGATGTCACCGTTCGCCGTTGCGGCATCTCCAGCTGCTGTTTCCCCAGAACTCACATATTCAGCCTCAGTCATCACACGCACTGCAAGAGACTTCAATAGTGACATTGTCTTGGTGTCCATGCGTCCCGACCGTTCCGCTGCTGCGAGTGACTGCTGCAGAGTAAAATTGTTTGTAGCATCAATGACTACGTCGCGTGCTTTAGCAAGTCGAACAAGCTGTGTGAACCGGTCTCCAGACGGCGGTGGATGTCTACGTAACAGTGCGTGAGTCGGAAAGCGCTCCACAAGCTTACGAGCTACAGTCGAATTTGCAAAGATCATCAATTCGGCAATTGTACCGTGAATCTCCAAACTCTCCTTGACCGTAATCTCCACGTCTTCTTGACCCAGCTCCGATACGTTTAAGGAGAATTTCACCTCCTCTTGTTTTGATAAATCGAGTCCGCCTTGCGATCCACGCGTACGACCAAGACGACGGCCAATATTTGTGAGAGTGCGAAGATCTTCCCGAAGATTCTCTTGGAGTTTTAACGGTATACGACCCCCTGCTACACCATCCACCTGCTTAACTGACGGAGGTTGTGCCCTCGATGAACTACATCGCGGTGGATTGTCGGCATCAGCATTAACACCCTGAAGCAAGCGGTGGGCTTGCTCGTATGTCATTGATGAGCAATTGCGGATGATAGTGCGCCCAAACCACGTTGAATTCTCCACAATATTGTAAGTCTCACCATCTAGCTCCCATATAACGCTTACTGCAAAACGGTCTCGGTTCTCGTGAAGCGAGCACAGGTCTGCGCTTAGCACGGAAGGAAGCATATCTAGCCGCTGTCCCACCAAATACACTGTCGTACTACGGCGTCTGCCCTCTAGGTCCAATGCCGAGCCGTGCTTTACGAAGTAGGAAACGTCCGCGATATGCACACCAAGCTCGACATTGCCGTTAGGTAAGCGCTGGATAGACATTGCATCATCGATATCCTGACACCCGTGCGGATCTACGCTGAACACGCGGTGTGTTTTACGCAGATCCCGACGTCGCAGAGCCTCCTCATCAGAAACTTTCCAATTTAACAGCCCGCAACGAGCCGGTCGTTTTGCTGTCGAACACTCTGCCACGCAACCACCTTCAATGTCAATTGGGCACTCATCACTTGAAGGGAGACATGCTAATGCTGCTTCACTAAAAGGTGCCTCTTCCACTTCGTTATCCACTAGCAGTGCGCTTAGCTCGGTCTGCAAACTTCCGGAAGCACCGAGGATTCCAACGTAGTGTCCGTTCGGATATGAACTGTCAGGAGCCCAGCTGTCAATCACAATCTTGAGGCGTTTGTCTAGCAGTGCATCCAGTCGTTGTGAGCGCAACCGGACTTTAGGGAGTCGCTGGTCCATCGGCACAGCCAACGCGTAGTCGTCTCCTGCATTGACAGTTGAAGCAATGATAGTTGCCACATGATACTTGGATGAGCGGCTCAGAATTCCCACTACTTGGCCCGTTGGAATCGCTCCATCCTTTTCTTCAGCATAATCCGATTCAACACTCTCGGATTCATGCTCGTGTTTATTTTCGTCTGGCGCATAATGCACCAGCAACCGGTCACTCTGTGGAGCGCGCCAATGTACCTTAGGAAGAATTTCTACCGCCACACGATCTCCATGCACGCCACGATTCATCGCAGCTCGTCCAAACACGAAAACTTTTTCAATCGCATGCGGACCTTCAACCAGGACATATGCTTCTGCTGGATTATGAGTACTCACTTCAAGCTTCCCCGTCAATATTCGAGAAAAGGATTGAGCCATCAACTCATTTAGCTGGGCACGTTTCAAATGAGGTGCAAACTCGGCTTGTACGCTGACCACATTGCCGTTCTCGTCCGGCGATCGCTGCATCTCTTCACGCCGCAGCGCTTCGGATGTATTTGCAGCCAATTCTATCAAGAATGCCGTATTCGCTGAACCTTTTGGCAATCGCTCAGCTAGAAACTTTTCACACGTAACTGCTTGGGCATTTACCGAAGCAACAAGTTGTAGACTCACTGGAGCATTCACATCTCTCGTCATGAACACCACCTGTGCATTCGATGGGAGATGTTTCTGAATCACATACCACTCCATCGTCTTCAGCAGCGCAAAATCATCTCTCATCGCCTGCAGCTTTCCCAAAGCCGTTGGCTCAACAAAAGTGTCGAAATGGTGTTGATCTGGGAAAAGGTACAGCTTTACACCTCCGTCCGTCCGTTGGTCTTCACCTCGGAAAAATTTCCTCAGTCTTCCAGTATCACGACTTGGTGCTTGTCTCAAAGCAGCATGCAACACACTCTCCAGTACCAAAAGACGTGGTGCTGCTCGGCAAAAGAGCGTTTCTTCCTCCAGAAGCTCCATACACTGTAGCAGACTAAAAGCATCAGGTACCACGTATTCTCCCTTGTCCACCCTCGGTAACACCTGAGCAGGAAGCAGTGCACGTGCACAGCGACATGTAGCACAAGAATCCACGCCACAGTGCGCATCACGTCGCAGATATCGCTCTTGAGCTTTCATGGCGCCCGGTTTACGACGTCGACTGCGCTCCACGAAGCTGGCGTCCGTCCGCACGTCTTTCCAGCGAGGAGATCCATACTGACGTACACCCACATGCAACTGCTGATATCTCTCTTCTTTTTCTTGCTGTTGCTGTCGTAAAATACGCAGACGCTGAGCCTCTTCCTGCTCCTGGAGCTGCCATGCCATGATACTCTCTTATTAACGTAGCTGCTGGGTTTTTGACGAATGAGAGCGAAGGAAAAGAAATGGGTACAGATACAACAATATGTGACGTGTGAAAATGATGTGACGTGTGAGCACTTTGTTTCGCGATTTGGCTAAGGAAGACGCAATTGATGCTGACGAGGTGTGGGAATTGGCTTTACGTATCGATAAGTGATGGCTTTGCACGCTTTTATAGTTTCTGTGAGCTTCTTTGTGCTCGGTATTAAGTTATTCATTGAAACACGACATCCACCGTCTTTTAAAAAACTGTTCTTGCTCTTGTGACGTTCCTGCTTCAACTATTTCCATCGTCTATACTTTTCTTTCATCTTTGCTTCTATCTCAACATCATGCCATCACTTTGCACAAGCACAGAAGACGCTTGTTGTTTCTGGAGCAACAATCCTGATGTAAATTGCTGAGGTTTTGCGTAGAGAGACCAAAAATGTGACGCCTCCAGTTATTTTCGAGTGTCTTTCCTATTCGCAATGACGGATATTCGTCACCAAAGCCCTACCAGCCTCTGGAACAATGTGTCACTGCAGCCTCATCCTACTGCTGTTGTTTCGTCTTCTGCTCTTCTTGCTGCTGTCGCACTTCCATGACAGCGGACGGGTTTGGATGGTACTTGGACGGGTCAATGGCACATCCTCCACCCATCGTCTCCTTGTCACTTCGAATGGGCTCAGCAGTCTTGTCCTCTTCCTCTGTGATGCTTCCCAGTCCAGTCTCTGCGGAATAATTGTCTACCTTCATATCTGCAATACCCAGCACATCGTCCTCATACTCAGAGCGTGTGAACCTCTCCGCCGTCATGTACGGATCATCTTCGGCACTGCCAAACGGCGAGTAGATGAAGCTATTGGACAATGGATCCTCCAAAATAAGCGTGAACGGCTCAGAACCCATCTTCAGAGCATCAAGACGCGCTAGCCAGGCGTTCAGCAGCGAGCGGCCACCGTCACTGTCACCAACAGCAAACGGGTTACCCTCTTCAATGTTATGGCGAATCTTGTCGAGCAAACCTTCCACAGTCGTGTACAATCCACCAAGTGAACCATGCGCCATTTCAAGCTCAATCTCGGGGATGTTGACACAAGCCGAGTCGGATTTGAGGATATCCCGGTCCAGCACATTTGGATCCTTGCTTGTATCCACTTTCAGCGTCATGCGCTCACCCTGAGGCGGAATAGCGCCACCAGCCTTCACCTCGTTGGTCTTGAAACCACACGCCTCGCAGTTGAAAGACATGATGATGACCTCCTTAAAATGAGGAATATCCGTCATGCACATGCAGGAAAAACCCGGTGCTTGACAAGCAAAGCAGTTTGCAGGGATCTGAATCACTTCCTTTTTGGCAATGTTGGCTTCCTCCACAAACTTGTCCAGACCTTCATTACGGTGCGGCAGCACACGCGGCGTCTGTGTTGGTGCGTCATGGGACATATCGGGCTGCAATCCACAAACCAGATCCTGTTGCTCTGACCGGTAGTAGTGTGACACTTTCATCTTAGGATCAGCAGCAGGTGCGTGTGGGTTCTCAATGTGCGAGTTGCCCGACGGATCATCCAGTACAATCTTGAATGGCAGCGTGATCCCCGCAGCCATCAAGGCGAGTTTCGCAATAAACTCGTCAATCTTCTCGGTTGTCTCGGGATCGGTCTCTCGACGGTGTTCCTGATTCTTACGTAAGTCTGTAATAGTTTTTTGCAAGACCCCTTCAATAGTGTTGATACTTCCTCGCTGCGTTTCGCGTGGGATCTCAAAGTCCAATCCCGGAATGTAGATGGCACCAGCATCAGCTTTAATCAGCTGACGGTTCAAGTCCTACAACATATAGAAAGAGAAACAGCAAAGACGAAAAGCTCGAGCGTATCAAAAACCCTGTAGAATTCGACTAATTTGCATTGCAAAGCATTGAATCTGGCCATACCTCGTGCTCCATGAGCTCAAGCTCAATCTTGGCTCCTTGTTCTTGCACTTTGCCACCAAATTGCACCTCACTGTTTTTAAAACCACAGTGTTCACACTCAAAAGACATGAGGATCACTTCACGAAAGTACGGGATCATAGTGAGCAGCAGCTTTGTCGTGCCGTCGTCGTGGCAATTCATGCACAAACTCTCCATGGTCGTCACCTCCGGTACGTCGTCCTCGGCTTGTAGCGCATAAATCGATGGCGCAGACGTCGTATTTTCTTCACTCTCATCCACATTATTAAGATGGAACCGCTTGTCTACGTTGGGACGCGTCCCGCCCAGTATTTGAGGCGCCTTCTCCGACATGATGTTCACTCGAAGTCAATTGGGTATCACTATATGGCTGGCTTCAGGGTATGTACTGATTTAATAGAATTGGCAATATTTAAGTGTGGACCTTTTCGAGGACTATTTATACAAATTAATAGTCAAATGTGCACTTCAAGATGGAAGGGCTTCACACTCTCTCGTCACCACCACATTGAAATCAAAGACAAAATTGCTATTAAATCTGTATACCCTTGTGAACTTGCTCCTGTTGCGAAATGTCGTTCGTGACGCATCAACTGACGTTACCCGTACCACCCACTTGATCAGGACAGCGATAATCTTCTGGCAATAGGGAACGCTGCAGTTTGTTGAAAGCAAACTGACGCTTGCCCGTATTCTTGAGTGCATTCTCGATACGCACACCGTGACTTCGCATAACGGAAACAGTAGCTGGAACCCGATGGGCTGGCAAGTCATGATGGCGTTGCAAGATACGCACCTGCTCTAACGTCACCGACATGGCTGTACGATCTTTGGCACTCTTGCAGACTGTGACACGTCCACCGCCAAGTTCTCGACACAAGTCCGATGAACGCTTCAAAATCTCCGTACGCTTCGTCTTTACCAGGCTCTGTGCCGCTTCGTTGATGCATGTCTCGAGTGCACGCAGTTCCTGCGTTACCTCATCCTGTGTGAGATGCAAAGGTGACGTAACTGTTGAGTCGAGAGACATCGCCTTGTACCGGCGAGATCCGGCGCGGCTTCGACCTGCAGACAAGCCAGTCAAGCCGTTAAGAGGCATGGCTACTACAAGACGACGATACTTCTCGCAGAAAGTCTTAAGAGGCTTGAGACTGCGGAAGTTGATAATGTCCTGCAATTCCGTTTTCGCTCGTTCCGTGTTGTTAGCAATCGTTTGCATTTCATTGATGCCCTGTGAAAACAGCACAGGCGTCACCTGGATCTCACCACCAGCAGCGAGGCGCTCGGGAAGTTCCACTTCACTAGTGGCAACCTGAACCGTCACAATGTACTTTACATGAGATCGCTTCGTCCCCGTCTTGTTCGAGACCGTTACCTTCACAACACCGGCCTCGTCAGCAACATCCTTGCGCCGGGACATGCGGAACGAGAAACGGTTCATAGGCTTGTCGCGGACATCTTGAAGTACAAACGCCACACAGCTCAAGTGCTCTACAGAACCTGCCATGTCTTCTAACATGCCTATTTCCTTGCCATGCGTAGACAGCAGCGACTCAACCTGGAAGAGAAAGCCAAGGCTGGAAAACTGGCGCAGAATGTCTTCGCCTCGGACAACATCTGGATTTTGAATTGCAACTTCCACCTTTCGCACGAAACTACAGGTGAGCGCTGCCAAAGCTTGAGCAAACGCACAGTCCATTCGCAGCTGCAGGTCCCATTTCAGATCATCGTACTCACGCACTTCCTCGGGCCACTTGGATAGATCCAGGTCAGCATCCGCAATTTTGGCCTCCATTTTCTTGCGTCTATTCTGGTATGAGAGAATGCCACCCTTGTTAAACTTGTAGACATGTGCTGCGGGAGCACCGACAGTTGTGAAGTCGTATGCAGAAACCTCCTTCGAGGACCTCCTCCTTTCATCGTTGATAAACGCATTTGTAGGCCCAATCAGTAGATCTTGGATGTGCATGTTAATAGGCACAAACCGAAGCTCAGATGACTTTTTCTCTACACTGGCCTTGAAATAGTTTTTGTGCTTGTCACGATTTACCAAGTACTGAATATTTCTGCGCAGCATTGTCACATATTCTTTGCGTCGTCGTACACGCTCCTCAAGCCACTCGCGAGCAAGCGAAGAATCAGTATCGTCCTGAATCTGGCCGATCAATGTACCATAGAAACCCATATTCTGCTTTCCCTTCTTCTGATTGAGGAAGCTATGCAAGTCTTCACGTGCACGATCAGCCTGCTCCTGACGCTCAGCCGCAATCAGCTCGATCAACTGGCGCGGAATCGCATTCGCGTAAACGCTTTCCTGCAGGTCCTCTACAACAAGACCACCACCGCCATCTTCCGTGTCATACTGGAAGAATCGGATGATATTACCGATGTTCTTGTGAGATGCAGCATCATCACGGTTGGAAATGTCGCCAGGCATCATGACTGTCTGCACACTCAGCTCCGCGTTCTTGGTGTTCCCCTTCAACATAGTGTTGATCTCACTCTGCAATGAAGGAAACTCCTCCAAAATAGCACACGTGTTTTCGTCCGATGGGTGAATATTCAGCGAGTGACCACTCGCTGCTGCGTCTAGCACGGCCTGAGACGAAGTAACAAACTCCAGCACGGGATGGAACATCGTCATCTGAAACGACAGCTGTGGATTCGAAGCCGTCTCTTGACTCCGTGTACTTAAACTTGAACGATCCAAACAAGGTGAAAACGTATCCCGTTTCCCAAGTGTACTAGCATGCACCATAAAACGTAGCAATGTCTTGGAAGCAGGGCCAATTACAGGCACCTCTAGCACGGCAACAAAAGGAAAAATAGTGTGTGTTGAGCCTGTCTTCAACACTGATTCCGTTTCACCCGCCACACCAACTGGCTCCGTTGTGCCCACACACTTCCATGCAGCAGCGTTGGAAATGTTATTGAGCGTGTTGCTGGATGTAATCGTCTCCTTTGACGAGTAAAAATCAAGCGACACAAAACACGCACGGTCAAATGTTGGGGGTAGCTTAAGCCGCACGATGATTCGCAACCGACTGCCAGGCTCATCGCTGTTAAGTATCGATTCTCCCATGCTTAAACGATCGCGCAACAATTTCGAGTACGGCATATGACTTGACGATCCAGACGAACGTGGGGTGTAATTAAATACATCCTCCTTTGACGACTGATCAACCGACGGTGCTTCGTCCTGCCGGAAGTTCTCTGTGCTTGGGTTCCACTGCAAAAACAGAAGTAATAGCGGTGGAAGGCTGTGTGGCAACCACACAATGAAAATATACCATACCACGTCTGACAGCTGGTTATCTTCACCTTCGTGCGAGACATACTGTGCGATATAGATAACCTGCGCTGATACGTAGAGAACACATGTCGTAGCGATAATAGCGTAAAAGATCGTAAGAGACTTGCGGATTCTCGCGTCAGACGGATCCTCGTTTAGCATTAGCGTTCGTCCACGGCTCATGACCATGCAACCAAGTATCATCAACATAAGTGTGTACACGATGAGACCCGTGCCAAAGGCCAAGTAGAATCCCTCCATATCACATTCTTCGATGGCAGACCGAACAATCATGCCCTCAGCAGCTATCGACAGTGCACACTCCTCTGCAGACGAACATGACGTGGACTTCACGTCGTACACACACTCCATTTTTTCTTCAGTCATTACTGATACCACGACAATGAAGGCCAGCACGCAGGCATTGATCAAAACGTACGCCAACACGACAGGGGATGTGAAGCTCAGTTTCTTGAAACACTTAAACGACAGCACAGTCGCCCAGTGGAAACATAGTGACAGTATCATTGCAGTGTTAAAGAAATACTGCGCTGTATACCAATGAACATAAGCCTTGGACGGTTGAATGACCCACACAAGATACCCACCGGTCCCCGCTGCAAACGAAAACAGTGCTGTGATAGCCACTAAATCCGTCCACAGTGTATTCACTGTTAATGGCAAGCCGTGCCAGCGAATGATCACCAGTGAGAACAAAAAACATGCGCCGTAAACCGCCACGGTAATTATGTCCAGCGGTGCAGCTTTAAGCGACCGACGTGCATCATCCAGTCTGTAAAATTTAATAGGCGATTTGTCAACAGCAGACGCAAGACCTTGGTACGCCGAAAGATACAGTTTGTCAATAGCGACAGAGTCATTGGCCGGGTTTCGAAACTTTCCAAACGTAATGTTCACCCTATCGCCGTTCTGAATACTACCAGTGAACGAGTCTGGGATCGTAAATGAAATGTTAGAAGCTCCCACAAATAGTTCCAAATTAACACGCTCAGAACTGTCCATGTCGGGTAGCAACATGGAAGCTGTCGACACATTTTCAATCAACTCTCCAAACTCCTTCTCCTTGTCACTTGCAACACGCAGCAAGAAAAAAGCACCAGCACTTAAGACCGCACCACTCGTGACACTAAGCGTCACAAAAGTCGAGGTCATAATAATAGGATTATCTGCTGTCATTGTCGTATGTGTAAACGTGCCAGTGAGGTTATATGCCTTGGACGTCAAGTCCAATTCAAAAGCCTGTTGTCTACTAGCTCCTGTATTCCCCCTCGTCGATGCAAGACAACCTGTACCATCAAACTTGATTGACAATATTGAATCCTCTGCAAATGTTCCTGGTCCAAGTCTCGTTGTCACGTGATCCACTAGAAACTCATAACTGTGACGTTCTGTCATAAGAACGTCCAATGCATCAGCATCAAGGGACATAATAGTCACATTACCGTCTCTTGTACAATCCACTACCATATCCAAAGTACCGACGGTACAGTCAGACATTTTTCCTTCCAGTACCCAAAGTGTTGGTGTATCCAACGTAATTTCACACGTAAAACTACACTTTGAAGCTCTCACTGACGCTGGGGTGAGGTCAAATGTCGTAAACAATTGGGGAAAATCATACGTGGATGTAATTTGAAGCGCACAATCAATACACGTGCCATTTAATGAGGACGCTACTGTCATCGTTGCAATATCCGAGAGGTTACTGCCTTTTTTCTTTTGATCAGAGGCTCGACATTTGTTGATACAATCGACGGGATCATAGTATAACATATTATTTGTATCAGTGGAATACAGACATTTCTTGTCTTCACATTCATAGGAAAATTGGGTCGGAAATGTCTTGACAATGTCTAAAGTTGCTACAATCATTACAAAAAGAAACACAATTGCGATTTTATAGCCATGAAACGCACCCAGGGGCATCTTGGCATTCCTCGTCTTCCTCTCTCCCGCCAGTTTTCAATAAAGAGAGAGAGAGAGGGGGGGGGGGGAGATCGATATGTCTGTTGCTGTCTCGAAGATGAAAAGAGAGGGGGATGAAACCTGTCACTATTGATAATACCAAACTTTTGGCTTCCGGCTTTTTTTTCAATAAAGAACAGAGAATTGGCACTTTTTTTTTTTGCCTTGTTGTTTCTCGTCTTTCCTCTCTCCCTCTTATTGGAAGAGCCAGTAGCATTTTCATTTGAGAAATGTATAGAAAAGGGATAGGACTACGAAGCGAGTAAATGGCTGATAATCGAAGAGAAGACTGGTTCATACGGTACTTACTACACGTTTTTTACTACAGAATTACGGGATGTAACATGCTTATCGAGCTGGGCAATGGAGCAAAATTCCTTTCGCCAATATGTTACGAATTGGCAACTTCTGTGCAACTGCAATTGAACTAGTGGGGTGGCTATTTCCAGAGCCAGTTCGAGACATGACATGAAGGTGTTGTCCTACAGGAGGTAGTACTTTAACAAAGACATGCTTTGATCGAATAGAAAACCCAGAGAATTGCATGGAGCAAATTCAACTACTAAACCTCTTTTAAATATCACTAAGGTTTCGTTTTATAGTAAATCATCGCTGATAGATGGTACTCTGAATCTTAATTGTCTTACTTCCTCCTCGTTAGACAGGATGAAACATTGCTGGCTGTAGTTCTCCCATTTCGGATAGTGCTCTCGCGTCTATTGTCGTTTGTGTAATGATGTCTACGTTTTGATTCAACATTGCCAAGAAGTGTTTAATAAAAATGGACATTTTGCTACGGACAGAAGCCTGTACGAATGTAGGTTTTTTCTATCACATTGCAAATAAAAATACAAAAAATGACACTGTGATGCATGTCTATAGTGATACTGCTTTAGTTGTAATAATGTCACGACCGTACACTTATTCGAATGTTAAAATTCAATAACGGTATTATTATAGACTTCCATAGCTGATAACCTGTTATAATAGATCGATGCTTTCACTTTTACGCAAGGTTTTTTGGCAATTCTTCCAAGAAAGTGCTTTCTTTGAATAAAAATTATGAAAAAATATTTATAATATCCATTATTAACCATACAAGAATTTAATTAATTTCTTTTTCACTCTACCATATAATCAATGGTGCGTATTCCTTGTCTAGATGACGCACCTGATGCTCCTTTCTCACGTCTATTTTGCTATTGTATACAGGCATCCGTATTTCTTAATGATCTTAATGACTACATCCAGCCATCACAAGCTTGTATAAATCCGTTATTTATGTCGGATGCTTCTAAACCCGAAGGTGACGGTGTTCCGTCTGCCAACGGCCTTGCCAAGATCACACTGCAGACGGAGCTCTCGGCCATGGACATGGCAGTACTACCGCCGGTTGAACCCAATATTATCCGTACAACGACGCAAGAAAAGGCTACGATCTTGCTGGATGACTGTCTCGCGTGTAGCGGCTGCGTCACGTCAGCCGAGACCGTGTTAATCTCGCAGCAAAGTTGCAAGGAAATGCTGGACGTACTTGCTGCCCACACGTACAAGTACGTGGTAGTGACACTATCACCACAGTCACGTGCGTCATTGGCAGTTCATTTTGATATGCCAGTGATTGTAGTGCACCGCAAGCTCGTGACGCTGTTTCGGACTCTTGGAGTGAACCTTGTGATCGACTCGACGTGTAGTGGAGACTTAGCGCTGCTTGAATCTCGTGCAGAGTTTTTGCGCAGATATTGTGACCAGCAAAAGACCATCTGGGCACGACCACCGTCGTCTGTAGCAGTCTCGTCGAGAAAGACGGAGTATCTGGAGCCCAGTACTGCTGCTAACCCTTTGCAAGACCCGCTACGAGCTATGCCGATGTTGGCTTCGTCGTGCCCTGGATGGATCTGTTATGCCGAAAAGTCCCAGCCGAATGCCATTCCGTTCATTGATACTACGAAATCTCCACAGCAGATTGCAGGCTCGATTGTCAAGCGCTTCCTGAGTGGCGAGCGTGGAATAGCGCCGGACGAAGTTTACCATGTTGCGGTGATGCCATGCTTTGACAAGAAACTGGAGGCATCGCGAAAGGATTTTCAGGACCCGGAGCATGCAACCAGAGAAGTGGACTGTGTGCTTGCTACCACGGAGATTATTGAGCTGGTCGAGTCGCTGAATATTGACTTTGCGGGGTTGAAGCCAGCGAATCTTACGCCAGAGGAGATAATGCTGAGCGGCGTGTCAGAAGATGGCTCGAGTGTTTTGGGTAGTAGCTTGAATGCTAGTTCTGGCGGCCAGCTCGAACACATTTTTCGCTTCGCAGCTAAAAAACTCTTCAACGTAGAGGTTAGCGGTCCGCTCGAGTATGTTGCTGGCCGCAACCCAGATTTCCGCGAGGTATCCTTGGTCGTCGAAGGAAAGGAGGTGCTGAAATTTGCTGTCGCCTATGGTTTTCGCAATATTCAATCGATCATGACGAAGATCCGGCGGAACAGGTGCCCATACCACTACGTCGAAATCATGGCGTGCCCGAGCGGGTGCTTAAACGGTGGTGGTCAGATTAGGCCGAAGTCGACGCTGCTGGCTACGGAGCTGCTTGATAACGTCACAAGTCGTTTCCAGGAGCTCCAAGTGCGCGAACCCACCGCAAACCCAGCTGTGAAGTATTTGTACGAAAAGTATTTGGGTGGAACACCATTCTCCGAGACAGCACGTGAAGTGCTGCATACACAATACCACGCTGTTCCGAAAATGGAGCAGTCAAACCCTTTGGGCATCAAGTGGTGATCCACATTTTAGTAGATATTCAACCAGTGTACGTTTAAGAGAATCAAGCATGGGTACATGTGCTCCTCTCACACATTCTTCTGATGTTTCATATTGACAGTCGTCCTTTTCTATATACCTTTGATACTGCCGTTCTGCCCTCTTTGCACATACCAGCAATTTCTTCAGTCCTTGCTGGAAGCCTGTGCTGTTATTGTCACGGTCTCCTTAGCCTGGTGACCCACGTGCACGGGACAAAGCACGTTGGACTTGTCAGCCTGGTGCTTGCCGTCCTTTGCTCCCCACAAATTTTCGTGAATACAAAAATCCCGAAGGCTGTGGCGCACGGTGCGCACCTTTGCCACCAACCACGCAGACATAGAACTCTCTTCAATATGAGCCGAGGGATCCTGCGACTGAAAGTCCTCCTCCACCACTTCACCCAAAAATACCTCGCGCCACACGTTAGCTTCCTTCTTGGTTTCAATTTCCTCGTCATCCATCCACTGCTGACTGTGCAGGACCATGCAGCCCATAATGACAGGCAGATACCAAAGCGAAGCCAGGAAGACCTTCTGTGCTGATGCATTTGACGGGTTGGCGTAAAAATTGTGCGCCAAGTAGATCGTGTACGCGTTCACGACGGTACCTTCCACCGCAAACATGTAGCTCGTAGCATCTGTGACCGCAGCCACAATCGGGATTGCACCCATATAGTACGAGTACCTTAGTGCCAAAGCAGCACTTCGAGAGCCCGTGGGATCGTTGCACGCTACCATCTTGTAGCCTCCACGGGCATAATCTTTGCGTGATCGCCAGCTCAAAGCAAAAAAGTGCGGCATCTGCCAGCAATACATCAAGTACGCCAGCAGCGCAGCTTCCGGTGCCATAATAGTTCCTGTAGCAGCCGCCCAGCCCATAATAGGCGGGATGGCACCCACGACAGAGCCTACCCATGTGTTGAGCTCGCTTTTCATCTTCATTGGAGTATACACTAGCGAATAGAGACCAATGTTCAGCACGCCCAATGAAGCCACCAATGGACTGCATCCAACGGCTAGAACAGCCGCACTGGCTGTACCCGTAGCAGCACCAAAGGTCAGAGCATGTGACTGGGAGATCCGTCCCGACGGAAGAGGACGGCGATGGGTACGCTGCATTTTAGCGTCCAGGTCAACCTCCCAAGACTGATTGAATGTATTGGCAGATACAGCAGCCAAAGACGTTCCAACTGTGGCAGCAGCAAAGGTGCACCAGGAAATGGGTCCTCCAGCCATCAAAAAACCCGCGCCTGTGGTCATAACTACCAATGCACTAAGACGTGCTTTGCCTAGTTGACTATAAATTGTAAGACGGTCCTTGAGTGTCATCATTTCGGTTAATGGGATCACGTCGATAGCTGCAGTAGCCGCTGTCTTGGAACATGTGGCTACAGCCACTTCGGCTGTTGGTCTCGTTGATAATACGCGTATCGCATGACAACGCAAGCGGAAAATCAGTCGACGGCTGGGCGACGTAGTGCGTAACACAGTGCAAATGTGTGGAGCTGAGGCGAGCGAAAACATCGAGACGAGACTCAATACCACGTACTACGTGGCGCGTCAAAATGATCCACTGACGGTGCAACTGACATGGAATTTGTAGGGCTGCTATTCCTTCGTGTACAACCACACCACGTTTAGTATAAAATTTGACGTTCGTGTAACAAATGCGCAGTTATATTAGAATATAAAAATGCCAGCTTCATGTATTATCATATTAGGATTTATATTGAATTAAAAAGTACTATTTAGCGCCAGAATCTACCTAGATGTTAATTGGCATCTCGTGGGTGTTGCTCACAATGCATGTATCCATTTTAGGAGGATGTTTTGTTATCTGCTTACTTACGTCTAGACCGTAGAACGTTTTTTTGATCGTGTGCACTTATACAGAAGAACATGCCAGTCGGAAGGTAAGTGTTATCTTCGCAGGGTGAACGCCAAACATGCTGTATCCGATGGACAGAATTGTGGTCGACATGTGAAAGTATCCACCAGCCTCCTGGCCGTAGGTTGGCGAGCAACAGCGACTTGCGGCTGAACCGAGTCAGTCAACATTACAACTTCGGTTTCGGTTGTAGACGACATCATGTCCATCACCATGCTAGCTGTATATACTTACCGCCGTACACGAGACCAGCAGCCGCTGATTAAATCAGTCGCCAAGAGTCGATGAATTGCGTCAACACTTGAAAATCTTCAATAATACGAGGCGTTTACGCTGGTCTTTCGAGCTTGCTCCAGTTTTACTCCCAGCTTTGCCACGAAGCACACATGGCCTACAACACAAAAGTAATCATGTTGTCACCACTGTCCGACAATGTAAACTCAGAGCAGCAGTTGCTGGTATACGTCATTGTTGCATCTTCAGCCGTATCGGCTTGGCGAAAGGCACTGCTAGAGCTGAAAAAATCGACGCTGCTCGAGTCCATTGTGCAGACAAGAAAGATATGTTCGACGTCGAAGTGTTTCAAGCGCGGTCAGATCCCACTTTTGCACATGGTGAATCGATAGATAATGGTCGTCATATACGGAGACCAATCGCGAAAACTAAAAGGACGCTGCTCAAATTTGTTAAGCTTCGTGACATATTCTACGACTGTCGCGCACGAGACTCATCACGGTAAACCTTGCGAGCTGTGCTTAAAATTCCTGAAATTGATCGCATTCAGAGCGTACCCTGACGGATTTATAGTTGGCCGGCTCGGCGGTAACCGGCTGAAGCGCACGATGATGAAGTTCATGGTAGAGCTCTATAGAGTTACCAATTGTCAAGTCTGTATCAATATACGAGGCTGCTGCTCCGGGTAGACGTTACTCCTACAAGCCGTGCACGCGTTTTTCTTCACCTGATGTATAGATACCCTTAAATCCTGAGGCATGTATCAATTAGATACGTAAGCAGTTAAGGTAGTATTACTTCTTGGAATTATCGCGCAGTACAGGATAGTTATTATTAGTATAGGAGTATCATTGTGGGAATACCCTAATTTAAAGAGGTCTAGTCAGCCAGTCAGAATGGAAGTTTGCCTTGCGTCTTGGCCCCACTATAGTCGCATATACAATCAATCAACTTCATTTGCGAATAGAAAATTCTTGTCCCCTTCATTTGAGAACTTTTTTGGCTAAATATGATTGTACCGCTGATATGCGCGATCGTTGGTCGGGAAGAGGGGAGTGCGTTTCCTGTAGATATCGACGACAACAAAAGTGTTGGACACTTAAAAGACGAAATCAAGGCAAAAAATGCGAAGACATTCAAGTTCCTGCGCGAAACTTGTGTCTCTTCCTGGCAAAGAAAACGGACGGCGCGTGGCTGAAAGACAGCGACCCTGCTGCAGAACAGTTATCTAACGGGGAGATGCATCCACATATTCAGCAGATGATTGATGGACAGCAAGCGATTGCAACGAGGACTATAAAGCGTTGGTTGTTTGAAGATAATAAGATGTCGCAGCCATCGACATCCCAAATCCACGTGCTGGTGGTGGTGTCATTGGGAAGTATATCCTTACGCGTCGCAGAGTTCGATAACGATGCTCGATACACGGACGAGCTGACGCATTACCAGCAACGAGGAGAGCTGATCCGGCGCAACTGTAAGGACTATTGCCAGCCGATTTTGAGCAAAATTGACGCACTGTATGCCTTCTCTGACAAGTTTGTGCTGCCGTTCATTTGCGTGGAAGGATAATTTGGCATGGGGAAGTCACAGCTGGCGTTTGCGTTGGGAGGAAGCCGCCCGTGGTTTTACTGGCCTATTGTCATTGAACAATCTTTTCAGCGCTTGTGCGGAAATTTCTTGTCAATTTCAAAAGCGTTTAGTGATGTGACAAAAATGGATGACCCGATGCAAAAGTCCGAGGAGGATATTTTGAACATTATGTCAGATTTCTACGATAAAGAGAGTCTGTGGGCTTTTGGCTTCATTCTTGCGCTGCTGAAGTATTGTTGCAGCAAAGAGCAGAATCAGCAAGGACACATGATACGCCTTCAAGAGAAAACGTCATTGCACGTGGAAAAATGCAATCGCGAGAAAGTTTTCGCTTTTCGCAGAAGGATGAAGGCTGAGAAGAAGGTCTTGCCTTTCTTTGTGTTGGATGAAATGACGCCTAGCATGCACCGTGATGGCAGTGGAAAAAACATGGCGGCATTCCAACGCAATATTTTTCGTGTTTGTGGCTTGGTCGTGATTGTAATGGGGACTGACGCTAAGATCACCAATTTGATTGCTCAGTCAGGAGGAAGCTATGATGAAGAGCACGAATGGATGACGGTTGTTTCTCGTTTTCCTCCATATTTGCCTATTCCGTTTGTAGATGAAGGCAAAGAGAGTGCTTGGAATTACGTCCAAGATAAGTATCCCGTCCTGAAAAGCATTGTGGAGAATTCTCGCGGGCGTTTTGCCAGGTATTTTGCCGACAGCGCGGCACATTACGCGATGGAAAATCTTGCAAGTGGTATCATACTTTCTGATTTGCTGGATGAAGCTTTTGGTCATGTAAGCTTAAAGACACATCAAGGCAAACATTTTATGAAGGAGCAAGAAGGAAAGGATGCGCAGCTAATGGCGATATCGTATACTAATGTTGACAGTGATGGTACGTCTCCGCCTCCGCATAAGAAAATGAAAACTGAGCTGGATGTGGGGACCCGCTATATGCATCTACACTTCGCCAACCTAGTGGATGAACAGACAACTGAAGTGGTTATAATTGATGGCCGACTTAAGGTTGATGGCATGCCGTGGAAACCGTCGTGTTGTTTCCCGAGTATTAACCAGGACATGCTTCTATATCTTGCTATATTGGGTGGAAAGACTTACTCAGGTTACTATGATCGTGATCAGTGTATAGATTACTCAACGTTAGGCATCTTCTCCGAGTACTTGAAAGGAAAGGGGTTCATGCCAAAAATAAACAGAAAGTCGGTGAAAAAAGATTATGAGTTGTACGAGAACATGGTCGCTCATATGATTTTCTGTGCGTCGCGGCGAAATGGAGTGCAAGGCATTCCTTTCGATAAATTCTTTGCTGGGTTGCTCAGTGAATGTCAAGAAGAAATACGGCCAGTGACAATGACCATTGGTAATACGGAGAAAGCGATTGTTGCTAGCGATTTATTGGAAACGTACGAAGATCTAGCGGCTTTGTCTCGCTCGAAAATTCCCTTTTTGGCTCCACCGAATGCTGAGTGGCCGCCATGTATCCTAGATACTCGCGCCGAGGGCTGTAACTTTGGTCATCTCGTCCGTGCTTCAAATGCTGAAAGGTGTGACATTTACGTACGCAACATGGAGGACAACTCTAAACCGCCACTTTTTCTGTGTGAGTGCAAGTACCGGAGCAAGAACGTGGACTTTGGTACGATGGAGATGATCATTGCTGGGCTAAACAAAGTTTGGGAGAAGTGGGCAGTTGTATTGCTTTTCTGTGTGGAATTAGCATCCTTTCGAAAGGATTGGGAGCGTATGGAAGTCGGCTGCGTCAAGGTCAATTGTCGAAGTGGTCGTGTCGATTGGGTTTTCCAGCCGGCCAAAGAAGAAAATCGGAAGCAGCTGGTCATCGTTATGGAAACGGGACTTTTGACGGTAGGAGTGCGTAGCAAACCTTGATTGAGCCAGTCCGTCGCGTCGCGAATCTCTGCATTCCGTCGTGAGCCCAACAGAATCTGCTCACATTTTATTGCATGTCAACTCTTATCACGTCATTGCTGTCGATTGGTACTCATTGCTTTCCCAGATAATCCGAAGCAGAGTTTTTTTAGCAGCTTTTAACTGTCTAATGTTCTTTTGGATTCATCGTTTGTATCTTAGTCTTTTACCCTTGAGCACATGCTAGATCTTGATCGTCTTATTTATAAGGGGTTTTTGTAGAGATATACCCGTTGCATGAAGAGAAGGAGAATACGGAACTAAAGAAGCGCTAGATGGTGTGGAACGCGTCCCCTATGAGCCAACCCTTTGACCGCATCTGCCATTACTTCGGTGTCAAAGTGGCGCTCTACTTCTTGTATTTGGGGCACTACACCAAACGGCTCTTACTTCCGACATTGGTAGGCATCGTCACGGGCATCGTGAGGTATTCCGTGCCACAAAACGACTACAACACCGTGTTCGCCTACATCTCGCTACCTTTTGGAGCTTTTATGACTATTGGGATGACCATTTATCTCGAGAATTGGAAGCGACTTAACTCGCGAGAGACGCTTCGTTGGGGCACTGTACACTTTTCGGAAACGGTGAATCTCCGCCCGCAATTTTACGGCGAGCGTATTCCCTCGCCCATAAATGGCAAGTCAACACGGTACTTTTCCCCTCGTGAAAAGCTTAAACGAGTAGCTTATAGCTGGGTTGTCATCTCGTTCCTTATCCTGATCGTGTTTGTTATCGTGTCCTCGATTTTCGTGCTGACATACGACCTTACGAAGAAAGACGACTCGGACAAGCTTGTGTTGGATGACTACAAGTACGGCTCAATTGTGTCGTCCCTTGCAAACGTTGTTCAGATCACCATCATGACCAAGATCTACAATTACGTATCAATTATGCTTGTAAACCAGGAAAACCATCGCACGGATATGGAGTACGAAAACAGTCTCATCGTCAAGACTGTGATTTTCCAATTCGTTTACAACTACGCGGGTCTATTCTATGTGGCGTTCCTGAAGGAAGGATTTGAAGGCTGCGATGTAAGTTGCATGCATGAACTCGAGTACATGCTCGCTATCGTGTTCTGCTCTCGGCTGTTTGTGGGCAACATCACCGAGGTTGCCATCCCGCGTTTGTTTGTGTACTTAAGCAAGTACCAGCTGCTGGGCCACTTGGATGAGTACAAGCAGTCCGATGCCGAACGCAAGCTCTTCATGGCGCAATACGATTGGCATGGCACCTTCGACGACTATACTGAGATGGCGCTTCAATTCGGCTTCACAACTATGTTCGTTGTGGCCTTCCCGCTTGCGCCTTTGCTCTCGTATGTGAACAACTACTTTGAGATCCGCTTGGACGCCTACCGTCTCCTTTTTGAGTCGCGGCGTCCTCGACCGCGTAACGTGCGTAACATGGGATACTGGTACCTGGTGCTGCAAGCTTTTGCAGCCATCTCCGTATGCACCAACGGTGCCGTTGTCATCTTTACAGGTGATTTCTTCAATTACCTGGAGACTTCCACCCGGGTGTGGATGTTCTCGATATTTATCGGTGGCATGTTCTTGTTCAAGTACTCTCTCGAGGTCTGCATTGATGACGTGCCGGAAGATGTGACGGTGCAGAAATACCGTCAGGAGTTCCTCATCAGCAAATGTCTATACCACGTGCCCGATGACGATGTCAATTGTCCGATTGGTAACGACAACGATGACCAAGAGAACATGATCATCATTGACGACGAAGACTCTTCGTGAACAATGTCAATGTGTGCATGTAATGCGTGATTTAGACATTTCTTCCTCGGGTGTCTGCTTCTTCCGTTTCAGGTATATATTTACCAAGCATCTTCGTGACTTAGAAGTTTTTATTGCATGATGGTGGGATCAGCGACTGATAGCCCAACGATTCAAATACACTTCTTTGTTTGACAAATGTCCACAGATCAGCCTCATCTAAGGGTTGAGACTGTAAATAAAGTAAACTACCATTACACTAGCAGATTCCCGTGTTTGACCTTCATTTCTACGTGTTCATCACATGGCTACAGTACGTGTAACGTGTTCAGCTGATCCCCCCTTTCAGCCAATCATCGTCGCGCAGGTGACAGCTCACGGTTTAGCAACCCGACGTGCTCTTGTGGGCTCTGTTGCCTGCCACTAGCTCGGCATACAGCGTCTAATGAGCGAAGTTACGACTCTATCGACTCTGGGTGATAACAGCAACCTTACTAACGAAAAATTGGACTTTAATAAAGCAGGAAGAGCCCGAGAAGAAGACGTTGTTCGACATTGGAGCGATGACAATGAGGAAGAGACCGCAGAGGTCAATGAGAACGACGATTTCTTTGGCAGAATCGAAGACGAGTCATGGGACGGTCTAGTGGAGACCGCGTACAATTTTCATCTGCATTTGCGCCAAGCATTTCGTGCCCAATTTGCTTCCACGTGACCCAATTTCCCGCCCGTCAAAATTGTGGTCACGTGTTGTGCTTTTCGTGCATCCAGCACTCATTTTCATTCTTGGATGAATGCTCTTTATGTCAAGCTCAGGTGATTTCTAGAGCTAGTAAGCTTGAAGTTGTTCCAGAGGCAGAAACAATGGAATCGTCATCTGCTAAGGCTGGGCAAGATTTGCACTTGCCGGTACATTTTTGAGACTTGTCGTTATTAATGTGATTTGACGTACATGTCTAAGATTACTGTGTGATGTTTCTTTTGATAGATCTCATCGTCGACTATGTATTCGATACCGTACCAAGGTGCCATTGTAAAATTGGACTTCACACACTTTAACAATACTAACTACATCAATACTATCGTCACAGCCGTGTCCACGGGCTATGACATGAGTCGAGTAGACGATGATGTGCTGTCAAGTTTCAGTCATGTGCCTTTCGGGCTGGACAATCATAGCGACTTGGACGACGTTGTTAACCTCGATGACCTGGTTTCGTCGGACAGCGAATGGCCTTCACCTCCAGTGGCAGCAAGAACTTCTCTCAGTCAAAGTTTTATCGCAGGACCAGCACGGCATCCACGAACGTCGCTACGAAAAATGAGCACTTGTTCTTCTAGACCGGCATCAGCGCACAGGGAGACGGTAATGGTAAACAAAATGGCACCTACAGTTGCTCGAATGACGAGCAGCCAAGTGGGCAAGAGGAAAGCCAGAACGCGAACGGTCAAACGCAAGGAGCTTGTAATTGTTCGTATGAAATGGGTAACGGTGAGATCAGAGGACTTGCCACCAGACCCTCGATACGACTGTGGGCTAGCGATCCATGGGAATGTCGTGATTGTTGTAGGTGGCATCGTCGGCAAGCTACGCCTAAACGACTTGCACACTTTAGACCTCGCAGCAAAGCCGTCGCCTCGATGGGCTCAACCACCGATAAGCGGTACGCCACCACCGTCAGGTCACCTGCTCCAGATATTCGTCCTTGGCGACGATTTGTATGCGATCGGTGGCACAATTGATGGAAAATTTCTAACAGAACTTCACCGGCTCAACGTACGTACGTTCAACCATGCGGCTGCTTCTTGTGTAATTCCCTGACTTGCAACTAACAATCACATCGTGTGGACCAAGCAGAAGAATGGAAGTGGGATAAGCTTGAAGTTGCCGGAAACCCTCCGTCAATGCGATATTGGTATTCGCTGGCAGTGTTGCAGGGCATGGCTAGTACGGGGGTTACGGGCATCCTCAGCGACTTAGCGATACGTTTGCGCTTCGATTTGGTTTGTTCGAATTCCGATTTGCCGTTGCTTGTACGCAGTTCTGACCATAAGCTTCTATTGACAGACACAAAAATTCCGACATGGGTGGAGCTGCGGCCTCGAGGTGATATCCCGGGACCTTCCTCAACGCATTTTGTGTGCGTTATAAAAGATCGCATGTACATTATTCGGAGGATACGACGGCAAATACCGTCGTGGTCAAGTATTTGCTTTTGAAATCGGTACGTTTTGTGCCTGGATGGTCATGATGGGGTCCTAAGTTAATGGGATAATTGTTTGAACAGAGGACGCTACAAAAGAGGGTATTGATTGTGTTTGGCGCAAAATAGAGACCCAAGGCGACGGCCCTGCATCACGCTACACGCACTCGGGGGTCAGCGTTGGGTCGCGAATAATTGTGTACGGAGGTAACAATGGATGCTTGAAAGGCGACGCGTATGTATTGGACCTCGGGACAGGTAAGTCATTTGTGACGAAATTCATGCTTATTCTTCAGCTAATCTATGTTTATTTGTATCCAGTTGAAGCGATGCCGACCTGGAAACTAGTCAAGTGTGATCCTCCTCTAACTCCTCGATCCTGGCATCGAGCAGTGGCTTGAAATGTTGCAACGTACGTGTTTGGAGGAAACACGACCAATGGACACGATAACAATGTCATACATGTGACATTCACGGCATTATAGCCGATCATAAATCTGATTTTATGCGACAGTGCGATCTTGACGTCACGAAAGGTTGCACTTGTGGATTGGCCTGAAATTCCATCCATGGCTACCACATTAAATTACGTTATTCACACACTTAACTAGCATTGGATATTATTTATCGTTATCAAAATAAAAGGGTGAGATGGATGCTGAAGTGTCGACTGCAGAGGGATCTATGGCATTTATGGAGAGCCTGACAGTGTTGCAACGTCTTTTCAAAGTATCGGAAGAAATACAGCGAAGGATAGACAAGAGAAATGCAATAAAGGCGCGCAAACAGCAACTACTTTAGCTTTAAACTCCAAATGTTGCAAAAGACGCGAAAATTGGCACTCAGAAGGCACAGAACGAAGAAAGTATTGATAATGAGGAGGACAATAGACTGACGAAGAGGGATGCTGAAGCGCTGGCGCGAAAGAAGGAGATGAAGGAGCTGCGGGCACGAGCAAAGGCAGCTAAAGAGGTCTGTGGTTTTAACCCTTCTTTTAGCTATTGTAATAATCATGAAAGCGTATGTTACTAATATTTACATGTTTTGCTACTATATAATGAGTTGCACAAGCAGCAGAGAGCGGCCAAGAACTTGAAGCAGCTGCAGCGAAGCGCAAGAGAGAAGAGGAGGAAAGTGACGAACAATTGAGGAAATTGGCGCATGTGGAGGCACCAAATACAGTCAAAGAAGCTGATGCTGGTCACCTCTGTTTGTTTGCTGGTCACTTGTTTGCATAGATGGAGATAGAGGAGCCAAAGTGCTTTTCAATACGCGTTGACTTAAACTTTTAAAGCTTGTGAAAGCATATGCAAACACCGTTTCAGTTTTTCCACCGACGAGTATTTGGTCAGTATTCAAGCATCGACAGCCATTATGTATCGCAATGAACACTCATTTTTCAGCACTTACCACTGAATGTATTCAAGTGGTTATCACAGGCTACTTTATTAAAATTCCCCCAAAACATTCAGCAAAGAATAGCAGCAACTGATCTCCTCATTCAGTTTGACGACCAGAAGCCTTTCAGGGCCACTGAACTTTAGCAAGGAGCCGCTGTGAGGGCTAATCGGCTCGTCTTGCTCGCGCAGCCATTTTTCCATGTTTTCAAAGACATCAGTCATTTGTCCATACGAGTGATCCAAAATTCTAGACGGATAACTAGCCTTTGGCTTTACTCAGTCAACGCCAACTCGGGCACAAAGAAAAGCTGAAAGTGTATATACCACCAGCCAGACAGTTTTTTAAAAAAGTTGCTCGCCGACACCTCTTGACTAGTTCTACACTTTTAAGCTCTCGCATACCTGATGATTGTAGTGTGTCACATACAGCAGCAACAACTTCCTTCTCAACTTCAATCATAGCCTGAATTTGACTTACACCATTGCAACGATTATAAGATCAAGATGTCAAATACCAAGAACAAACGCAGCTCGTACTCGCATCAGATGAGATAAACGTAGGAGTCATTATAAATTGACGGCCTGGCTGCCAGCACGCAGACTACGATAAGGTTGTGGGCGGAAAGGTTCGTCTAGATCTTGTATATAGCAGGATGCCTATTTCAAAGATGATTAGACCCCTCCAACTTCGTCCAAAACTTTCTCCGTGTAAACCTTAAGGTTTTCCGTGACATCATCTTTGTAACGGGGTGAGTCCGTTACATAATTTTGACACTTATATGAAGTGTCAATAAAATATTATTATAACAAACGAGGGTATTTACCCGTCGTTCCGACGGATACCCCTACAGTTGATGTATACTGGTTAATCACTTTGCTTAGAATTTCAGGTTGATTAGGTAAATTAATAGGTATTAAGTCAATGTGCATTCAGGCCAATGTAAACCCGTCGTTCGGCCGGGTACAAATTGACGAGTTTCTGGAACGCGTTAATATACAGTCATTTACATTTAGATTATGCCTGCACCCTAGTGAATCGATAGACGATTGCACCATGTTTTATCGACCCATCTCTTTTATGGTGTTCACTCGTCGTTCTGATGGTGCGAAGCTGAAGATATTGGCATGTTAAACGCAGTGATTTGCTAGGATGAATACCCGTCATACCGACGGACATGGTGCGCAAGTCGACGCCTGTAATATATTGACCTTAACATCATCGTTTTACCAATTTGGTTGACTACATTAAAATGATGATATAAAGGTCAATGTGTACTCGTCGCTGTAATATATTGACCTTAACATCATCGTTTTACCAAATTGGTTGACTACATTAAAATGATGATATAAAGGTCAATGTGTACTCGTCGTTGTAACGGGCATGGTGACTAAAGTTTGCCTTTTGACCTTCGAACCCAACATTTTACCTTACAATATTAAGGTAAAGTGATGAGTATGAGATTCAAAGTGCACCCGTCGTTCCGACGGATGGTAGCGTGCGGACCGAATACATCGATGTTATTATGTATAGAGGACCGTATGTCAAACAGCACTGTAACAGGGCATCTAGTTACACGTAAACATTAAGTAATATACTTAATGTTTGGTCTAAAAGTATATATGATTACTTTTGACCTGTCACTTGGGTGCGATACACAAACGTGATCCACCCTCGTGAATGTGATATCCATTGATGGATTCACATGAGAAGGGATGACGCTAGTTGAAGCTAGGCATCGCGACGTCTCAAAAGGACGTCAGTTGCGATCTTAAATCTAGATTGAAGATAATGCGACAGGATACGCTTCTAAAGCGTCGCGTATCCGATCTATATACACATATAGTCAATCAGTAGTTAAGTATATATTTAGTTATAATTAATTAAATATAGCTCAGTCTTGGATTTGCTAAATCAAAAGCACCACGCACGAGAAGCCGAAAAGCTTCTACGTGACGTCGGTGTCTTCTTGTCTTAGAAGTTCGTTGCACTCTCGCTTAAGCGAGAGGCAACTGGTGGTACGACTGCTTAAGCAGTCGACCAATCTCCCAACCACCCTCGCACGCGAAGGTAAGAAGGTCTAACCGCTTCCTCGCTTGTGCTGAAGGTGTGTGCTAGTAGCACGAGGCAACTTCGTAGAAGTGCCCGTCTACAAGCACTGTAAGGCTACTTTTAGCCTGTGTGCAGATTGGTGATGCTGCCCGTCGCTCCGACGGATAGGTGCGCAAAATCTACGCAGAAAGTATTTAAACCCATCACTTCCTTAAAAATATTAAGCTGCCTTATGTAAATTGATAAGTATGAAAGTTAACGAAGGTCGGTATATTGACCCATCAGTTTTCTTTCAAAAATCCGGTTTAGTCAGGTAATTGCTAACTAAAAAGTCAAGGTGTATGAAAGTCAAACTGTATTTGACGACTCTCGTCAAGGTAAACATGTCGTTTCGCAGGTCAATGTGTACCCATCATTCCGACAAAAACAGTAAAGAATGCTGCCCTTGATCTTTTTACTTATCGTTTTACTTTTTCATATCTGGTTGACTCTAATAATTTATATGGATAATGCATTTCATTTTGGTCAATTAGCTTATTGTAACGGGGCTAGAACATACCGTCACTAGCTTACACGCGCGCTTGAGGAAGACTCAAGCCCAAGCATTAGGTATTAAGTAAATTTAGCTCTGATTTATTTTTAGTTTTAATTTGTACTAATTACGAAGATTTTAGTCGTAATAAATACGACAGTGTTCCCGCCTTTCGGGAACCACACAATTTCAGGTTGATTTATCATTGGTCCATATTGGGACTTTTAGGCCTAAATAATAAACCAATAATAAATTGCCACGCTGTGCCCCCTATTCGGGCCCAGCACCCCTGTCTACATATGTAAT